AACCATGATGGCTGATTGTAATCTTAGTTAATTAGTTATTTTTATCTATTGGGTTAGTTAGTTAGGTTGGAATACTACCCGACACTACAGTAGAACCGTACACGTGAGCATCAATCAACAGACTAATAGAATAATGGATTAACGTAAGTAAAAACCAACCGGTAGAGTGTGTGAATATGAAAATTAATAACACGATGAGCTTTTTAGTCGGTTTCACCAATGTGATACTGATGTCTATGTCTGTATTAACTGAATTTATTCTTGCTACTGGGATAATAGATACAATCGTTAATTATATACTTGACATGGGGTGACAGCTCAGTCTATAAGATCTTACGTGGATGCTACATCATCGTCCATTCTGACTAGTCCTATCGTATCAGTCAGTAATATACTGAAGAACATATTTAGGCTTGTGACAGAATGGGATATTTAATGTGAAAAAGAAGACGCTATGTAAAGTGACTGCGCATGCATGCCTGAACCATTCCGTAAGGAATAAGCGTTCCTAGCTTCACCATTTCTAATTTTCTCTGTGTTAAATGTTGAGAGTGAGTCTTCTCTTTTATCGTATTTTCGGCTCCGAAGATCGTAGGTTTGAGAAACAATCTTTCTACAGCACCAGGGTCAGTTAGGGTTGTCTATTTTTCGAGATGGGCTTTCTGAGGGGTTCTGGATCATCTGCGATCATGCCGAACATCAGGACAACTGGTGCGATTATTACAGAGATCTCTACTCTAATTTTTAGTCAACCGATACCTTTTCTTCAAAGAACAAACATCGTTGCTGAGTTATGGGGATCTCTAGAATCTGGTCACAGCCATTTGGTTCACGTTATTATTTTGGAATGAAACGAAAAGGCCTTCATCAGATTTCTGTAGGTCAATAACTTTTCAAATATGAATAAGCATTTCTGTTGACAAGCCGTATTGCAACACAGCATTGTGGAATAGCTATTCTAACGTTTGTCGATCAGTTCAAGGGATATAATATATTTTTGCAAGGGCAAGTACACGCTATTTTTACAGACATGATCTGCGAATTACAACGTTTATTGGTTCACAGTATGTGTGTTAAATAAATATAGCCTATAAATGTGAATATCAGTTCATTCCTTCGGATAGGTCTATTTCTCAGTGTCATGACTTTCAGAAATACCGCTGGCAAGCATGTTGGGTTAAACTAGTCCGTTGAAAATGAGTGGCGATGCCTACACTACTGTGAGGAATCGTACACGTGACTGTGCTGCGCCGTGCCTGTTGAAGTCCATTTCTCTGTGGCAGGACCAGACTCCCATATTACAAGGCCAAAGCGACATGAGTAGAAAGGTAGGAAGTATTTATTCAGATGTCTACTCCAACATAATATTGATAAAATATATACATATGCTAAAAAATCTGACAACATAAATAGTGTCACGATATGTAAATATATATAAAGCTGCAAAATGGAATGGTCTCACATTTTGTCCTTTAGTGAACCAGATCGTACCGAGCTCACCACTAGATATGTAACGGTTTTTCAGGGTTTGAAAACGCTTTTATCCGTAACACCTTTATATTCGGGGATCCGAAACCCAATAAAATCAAAAGTGAGGAAGGATGAGCCCAGAGATACATGTAGAAAATAGTCGATTTGTCACGAGGAATATTGTCTAAACTGACTAGTTATTGTAGGAGATGCGTAGCACGACGTACCCAGTGGTAATCCGTTGAGAGTGCCTCGCTGAGCGCCTTCGACCTCGGGTGTCCAATAAAACTCATGAGGTCAGCATAAATGTCTAAGACTTAAGGGATTTACCACAACACAATTATTTTCAGCCTGATTGATATTTCACAACTTACCTGCCGTCGTTGTCGTTGTCATATATTATTGTTGCTATTTCTTCCTACCCTTCCCCTTTTCAGTACCCATTACTCCGTTTACGTTTATTTCTACCTTTTTTATTTGTTCGTTTAACTAAGTAACTTTTTTCTGACCTTTGGCATTTTCTCTGCTCCTCTGAATCCTTATGTTGCAAATTTAATATTAAAACCACTTATTCTGTTGTCTCGAAACGTAATGACTGATGGTTCTAGAAACCCAACTACCCTAAGACAAATTCATTTATATGTACTCAGAATATATCAAGTTACAAAAAAATGATGGCTTTACTAAAACTGGAGGAGTTGAAAAGCTATTGTATTCTCATTAGATGGTACAAAAGTCATGAAGCCGCATCGTAACACCAAGAAGTGAGCACGGAGAAGTCACCTAGGTTACAACGGCTAGTCAAAATGACATCGGATATAGAAAAACAAAGGGGTATTAAATTTTTAAAGTGAAAAAGTGTATTGGTGATTCATATGGTAAGTGTAGTGACCTATATACGCTTGGATCGTGAACAGTTAAATTCACGAACGTATCACGAATAAACATGAGAGACCAATTTGTGACCTTTTGATCACCTTCGGACGACTAGTTATAACGTTATTATCATATTTTATGCATACAAGCCTACCTTCACTTTTCTGCATTACTCTTTATCCATTTATACATATGTGGGCCTGATAGTTATTAACCGTAAACTTTGAACGCTTTTCAGTAGCTCTATGTCTGACTCCTGATAGATCGCTTCTGGTTGTTTTCGAAATTTACATATCGCCAATCCTCGTATATAATCACCGACTTAAGTGGCGTCGGTGAATAAGGGAACCAAATAGGTTAAATAGGAGAATGAAATATTGAACACGTGTATTTTGTATAACCGCTGTTAAGAACAGATAATCAGAGAGACGAGCCGAAGAGAAACGGATTGGAGAAGGCGTGTGAGTCAACCAGATTTAGTCAAGCGTTAGTGGATATTGATAGTCAGACAAAAATAAATTACAGACACGAGGTGGGTCAGGTAAAAAATGCACACATACGAATGCACAAAAACAGTCAAAGCTGATAAGCGAATAAGTGACTAAGTCAAAGTGTGATTCAGAAAGAATGAATACATTGATCTGTTCAGGAAATAAAACGACCTATGTGAGCTCGAAATAAGGCCAGCCACTACAATTTTCTTGTTTTTAGAAATTATGTAGACCTGTTGTATATACTTCAGACAACTAAGATTCGTAAACCATCCCCTTCAATAAGGACTAGCCTACCCACTACTCACTGGATAGGCAATAACAGCTCCTCTTGACTGCAGTTCAATATTCACTATCCGAGCTTGTCCGTTCACGTGATGTCTGAAATATGCATGCCCTAAATGCGGCCCGTCATAACGTGGTAAATAGACAGAAGACATATGAAGTCAAGCAGTATACATGTTTCAATACAACCATAACCGTTCGATTATGGTGGAGTCAACTACTATTACTTGGTATATTATTTATTCAGTGTTATGAAATTTTCTGTGTAAGTCTCATACAAATGAGTGAATGCTCACGAATAAAGACTCCAAATCAAATGAAACTCCAGATTACCAAAGTAAATGAGAACTTGTTTAGCTAGGTCAATATTTTCTATGAATGCACTCATAAAAGTCCGATAGTTTGACTTGCTATTTTGTGTTTTTTTTTTTTCGTTTTCCGTAGAGCAGTGGTGACTGTTTCACTTCCATCCATATTTTCCAAAACTCAATGGCATGTGTACATTACTCACCTTTTAATAACAGAGTTTGCAGTACTCTCTCAGGACGATTATTATTTCCATGTAAATAATGCATTAAAGCCATTTTGTGAAATATGAAACGCCGATTCACTAAACAGTAAGGCACCTGACTAACAGAACCATTTAAATAACGTAGCAAAACGCAAGTGAATTATGAGCTAAAATAAAGTTGCGACGAGTTTACTTCCTTGTAAATCCTTTATTAATAGCTTAATGTAAAGCTAAATAATATACAGTTGCTATCGGTCATAACATTGCAATAATTTGGTATCGTCATATAATTTTGTGCTTATTTGCAGATACGCAGATGAGAGTTTGCTTATCCTCAAAAGCATTCAGAATCAGAATTTATGAAACGCATATACTTTTTATTGTGTACTTTTAATATCTGTTTGGCAGTTTACTTGTCATTGTAGACTGTTTTTATAGCCAATGGTATTCCAAACAACTTTAAAATCTACTATCAGACGTGTTGTTTTCAAAAGTAGGCCAGTATTTATTACAACGGACGAACCCACATCATTCCGGCGTTGAACAACTAAAATTGCATTGTCCTTACTGACCCCATTTTCTGTTGTAATTTTTATTATTTCAGAGACCTTGAATGGTGTGAAAATTTAAAGCACAGATATATTCATTGAGAACCTAAGAAAGTTTAGCGTTTAAGGTTTCCTTTCAATCTCATAGCCATTCATCGTATACAACAAATCTTCTTGACTTGTAATTCTAGCTGCTGCCATTGATTTCGTAAAATAGAGAATACTTTTGGGAAAATCGTGGCTCAAATATTAGGTACTGAAACATACAACAGGTTCTTATACTGGAAACAAAGTGGAATTTGTCCAAACTGGTCTAGATGAGTTTGGGTTTTATGTAGCCAATTGTTGAGCGATTAAATTTTTTAGATTTTAAAAACTAATTCTGAGGCTCAATCCAAGTAAACAGATGAGCAACACTATTCTGATTCACAATTTCGCGTATGTCTAAATAACTAGGTTTCAGAATATTTGGTGACAATTTATTTGTTCTGTTGTGTCAAGAAGAAGAGAAAACCAGTATGCTGTATGTCTGTTGTTCCCAACCCAAATCTTCAGTTGGTTTATCAAAGCACCATTGTCGACTTTGCTGTGTGAGATTGTGACTAGTATTTACTAATCTTCGTGCTAAAGATAAGTCGATATGTTTCTTAAAACAATTTTGCAAATTGCCAAACCAACAGATTATTCGCTTTATTTTTATAAGTGATCGAGTGTTTTATAATGTTTATCACTGAAGTAAATCACATCAGTATATTTATTTTGTTAAACGACGAATATTCTCCATTTGTTTGATTGTTTTTAATTTCAGCTGGCAAAAATATGGGACACTACATACTGCTTCCACTACTAATCATTGTGTGTTTATGCCAAAGATTGGAAACAAAAAATATTTGCAATAGTCGTGACAAAGTTTCTATTATCGGTGGGGAACAAAGACGCTTAGTTACAGAAGGAGGTCGGGTAACATTAATATGTTGTGTACCAGGTAAAAGTAATGGTCATGATCATGAACAACTTGTATGGAATAGCCCGGATGGAAAAGAATTAGTAAACTATTTTTCTAACCCAATGTCTGATAATCAACACACTGCATATTCTGTGCCTGAGTTTCACTCAAAAGATCACTTGGTATGTTTTTCATTATTTTGTGCCAAACTATCTGCTTTTATATACTTTGTGACGTAAAGTATGACATTTTCATCTAATTAGCACGCTGATTAGCCAAACGGGTTGCTCTGACAGTGTAAGTTACAGGTTAAACTAGTCGTATGAAAATATTACAACTGATTTCCACAAGTTAGCGATCACTAGAAGTTTTAACTTCGTAACCTAATGTAATAAGAGACGATGATTGAGAATTGAAAACCTGATTATCATGTCGGCTAGATTTGTGCTTTATTGCGCATGAATAATACACCGTTTTCTAGTATACACTCAAAACACGTTGGTTTAAATGTATATCATTATTACCATCATTAGAAATGCTTCTCAAGTAAGATATCTAGTGGTTATAACTCAGAAAGCTTAATAAAATGTAATTCTATGAGTTAGTTATCCTTGAATGTAACACAACTGTTTAGTTTTAGATAATTTCTCATCACTAGCACAGATTAGTTTCCGCTAATGATTACAAACAGCTTCAGGATATAGCGTTGATTTTCAAAAGGATCTCCTAGTAAGGAAATTATTTGATACAGAACTTTGAGCCAGTAGTATACCCAATTACTTGCTTTGAACAACATCTCCGTGGATATTTTTCCAATTTATTTCGCTATATCTAATATCGTGAAGTGCCGTTATATCAACGAATTCGTGTGTTTAAGTAACAGGATACTTGGACAATACTCACCCATAAAGTATTATCATTACAGCCATGGTAAGACTTGATGGGATTCTCTAGTCTTAAAGCACTCATCATACTTCACAACTTAACACGAGTTGCAGGGCGACAGAACTACTTGTAATGTAATTCTATATCAAAAGTTACGATGGAGAAAAGTTGCTGAGTCACCGAAGTTCTTTATTTGATAAAATTACCTAGTTGAAACAACCAGAACGGGAACCTTTTAATCCTTTGTGCGTGAAGTTGTGTTTACAACTTCATTTTATGTGCTAAAGTACATAAGTCTGGAAAGCGTAGAGAAGATTTAATATCCACACTTCCGACTGAGTTGGTAGCATGAATGTCAACCACTTGAATTCATTAACTGATCATGAAATAAAAGAAAACTGAAACTCCTTGCTTTTTTATGAAGCGATAATCACCATGATGTTTGATTTTATTATTCACAAGAACGCTATTGCCGATATTTTATTTCGTGGTTTAAGTCTTTATTTTATCACTCAGCTTATTTATTTAGTCAGAACTGTATTTTTTATGACATGAATTTTCCTCTTCAAATAATCTCTCCCTATAAACTTATCAGCTTTCTCTCTTTGTAGCTTTTTTGCATATTTGTGCTATATTTAGTCAACCCTATAAATAGTCCTTTTTTTGTCTTTACCACTTTTGGCAATTTTGTGTCAATGTTGTCTCCGAAATCATTTAGTAGTCTTTCACAAACATTGCGAAAGTTTATACATTTATTTCAATAACTCAAATTATTTGATAGGTTTGTTTAGTTAGTTTAATTTTGCTGCAGAAGTAATCTTTTATTATTTGGGTCATAATAATATGCATGTGAGATTCCCTTATAATATAAATGTTCATGTTTCGATTACTCGGTGTTCTACCATTTGAGCTGACCTCTCTTTTTTTATTCAGATTACTATGATGGTTATTCAGAAATTCCAAGCCAAAGATAGTGGCCAGTATACATGTCGAAACACACACCCTAGTTCTACAGCCCTTCCAGCTAGTGTCTTTATAGATGTCAGACCTAGGCTTTTGGCAGACTTCATTCCACTACCTCCATCTAATGTAGAGGATTCTGGTTCAGCAGTTGTGGCTGGTGTTGCAGTGTCTGTCGCTCTTGAAGAAGGACGAAGGGGAGAAATAACATGCCGTATTAACTCACAACTAAATCTCGATGGTGTCCAACTTACGTGGTTTTTTCAGGGTCGTCAACTGATTACACCATCGATCGTAATGAAACAAATAGGACAAAAGAATTTATTTAAAGTCAATAACACTAGCTTTGAAAACCCTCCTACTGAAATGGAAAATTCTGATATTTTCCTACCATCCTCACATGAAAGAAATTTCGCAACGGGGTCAAACCAAATATTTACCGAGCAACTAAACCGCCCTGTTGCCCTTGATCCTGAAGAATTGGGTATACAAATTTCTCAAAATGGACAAGTAAATACTAGTTATACTTTTTACGCGTACCTGCATATTTTTGCACTTTTTGTTATGCCATGACTTTTCATATTGTTTGTTTCCTATCACTATCCCTCCATATCGGTCTTTCATAAACTTGACTGACTCATGTAGTCAATTTCCAAATTACATTAAATCTAGTTCCAACAACAAGGTTCATGAGAACACATTTTTTGTTGTGCATGACTCAAGAATCGTTTCGTCTTTTTGTATTAAATAAAGGCACAAAACAAGAATGAAGAAGACGGTAAATTTGGTGTTAGTCTTACGAGAGGTCCAGCTTTGATAAATGCAAACCTTGACAACTAACATGCTTCATTACTCAAATCATATTACTTACTGTCAACAAGTAGTACGTGGTATGTTTGATAAATATTTCTCTTCCTTTTATAAGTCATCCTGAAACATAATAGTGTTTCGATCTTTGTACTTCGTGTCCGGAACTGCAGCTTCGGATTAAAGAATCTAGTTAAGCCAATTGTAAAAAAATAATATAAATTTCTTTGTTTTCTAGATATTACGATTTCACTGTGAATCACGACAATAATATATTCGTAGTTTTAGGGCATGTTGTTTACCACTAATACTAAAGTTAACGATAACGGGTAAAAATTTCCACGCACGGATGATAGCTAGTTTGTGATTCGGGAGATAATATTTACTGATGAAATTTCTGAATTATGCACAAATTTTCAGATGCAATAAGATGGACCTGCTAACTTAATTCACTCGGTTGTCAAGTTGTACGTTCAGTATCATATACGAACATTGTTTTCAACACAGACTAACATGAGATGGATAACGTTTTGAAAACAAGGAAGACCAAGTAGCTGTTTTGTTCTAATTGAAATCCTTAAGTGGTGAACAGTATTCCTTTCGAAAAGCATTGTCTTTCCAGTACTATAAGATCTCCAACAATGAACTGAAGTAATGATACTACAATACCCGACAATTGTTAGGAGTTACAAACTATTTATATAATACATATACACAGCTTTCAATCTTCCATTTGCATCTTCCGGTGTGTTCTGCAATCTGAACAGTCTTCGCGTCTATTCTCCACGTGTTACGCCAACGCCGTGTTTCCAATGCACCGAAACTCTTCAGTCCGTCCCACAATTGCTGCACGTTCCGCTACACACTACTTACAAACAAACTTCAGTAACGTTTACTAAGCTTATCCCCCTATTGATTGTCTTCCTTCATTACAATACTAAACATGCTTTCTAACTTCCATTAATCCGTAATGTGGGCAGACAGCCATCCACTATTTTTGGTACATAGTACTCCCTCACTCCATATATGTCCTTACGGATAATGTTAATCCATAGAGGAGCTGATCTCCTTCCGTTTAAACCATCCTCAACGACCATCAAGTTTTATTCGTTTAATATCTCATTTAACATATTTTGGTGTTTTGTTGTTTGAGCTGGATGGTTTAATTATGAAGCTTTCGTTGATGTTCTCATCAACATCATAACTACCTACTTAGCTTAGATGCTACCTTTTCGGTTATTCCGCAGGAGTTGAATAAATTCATTCTGATGGTCTTGTTTGTGGTTGGTTGTCGTAATAGGTTATGTTGTCTTTGTATTTTCATTACTGTTAACGTCCCTTCTGGTTATGTGACTGATTAACTTTTCCTTTATGGACTTATAGATTGGTTCTATTTCAACATGTTTAGTTTGGAGAATACACAACCACCAAAAGCATCTATTTGAGCTACAAATCTTTTTCGTCATTCTACTTAACTTATATGAGGTGACTTTAGTAAGAAAACCGTCGGAAACCACAGAGCACTGGGTAGCTGTTTCATCGTCTTGTGTGACTCGTTAACAGTATGTTTTCGGTAAAGGACTAAAAGTAGGACGTTTAGGTATTGGGGCGAGTGCTTAAACTTTATGCTGGTCATTCATGTTTCCAACTTTAGTCAGTTGTTGATGTGACCACTATCAATTCCTAGGGCTGATATTTGTTTCACTCCTGACATGGTTGTATTCTACTGGTCACGGTTTCTCATTAAAGTCTCAGGAATACTTCTTGAAGTTAGTCACTGGTAAGCGCATTTCCATAAAATTGCTACCTGGTTTTCAGTAGTTGTTTAGCTGAAGTCACTTCGTGATACAAACTACAAACAAATATTCTATACTAGTTTCTGTTGATGTTTTCTCCTTTTTGATTACCTCTATGTATCTATTTCAGAAGTTTCGAATCTACTCCTTTTTGAAAACTATGTATATCATATTAGTTGTAATTATGGATTGTAGTGTTAGAATTCGTAGTGATATCAATCTATTGACATGGAATCTTGTTGTGTATACTTTCAAGCTTCATCTGCAAGAAACAAACATCAATTGAAACATATGTCGGCTTTTCGACCCCTTGACAAGATTTATAAAACTATAATAAGCGATACATTTGAAACAATCTTTCTTGAAATATCTTTTCAAATATAACTTAAGTGTGTTGCAAAAGCAATTCTTGACAGTGATTAGGGTTTTCTTGTTATTTCGTACACATAATTTCCTCAATTGTCTGAAGAGAGAGAGAAAGTTCTTTTATATTGTTAGTCCCATTATTATAATTGATTTTCTAAATTTGGGTGATCGGTTCCTGTCAATCCTTTAGATTGTTAACCAGATACACTGGCTTTATTCTGTTGAATCATACTACGGATAATTTTGTTTGCAGAAATAACTAAGGGTGTACTTCAGTGATGATTAAATTAACTTCCTTGTTTTAAAAAATGATTACTGTATTGTTTCCTCTCCGAAACACTGCGTGAATGAATTAACTATTGGGATACGATGAAAATTTATACTTAAATTTGCTGACTTTGAAAGAAAAAAAATTCTTGTTCGCACATCCACGTGACCATGACTCAAGCTTCAATAATATTAAAAACTCGGATAAATAAAATCCGCTGCTTCGGTTTACTGCTAACAACGAACTAGGGTCGCGATTAATGACTGCTACCAAGACGATATAGTTTCTCACTGTCTCCTCTTTTTCAGTGTTTCTGCAGATAGTATTAATTCGTAACGAAAAGTATTTCAAATTTATATATATATATATATATATATATATATATATATATATATATATATATATATATATATATATATATATATATATATATATATATATATATGGTTCACTGCAAAATTTACCTTTCCTGGTTAATTACGCACGTAAATGAAACCTTAAATGTTTGATGTAAATTGTACTCAAGTCAGTAAACTGTCATTTTCAGTTCCGTTCATTGAATAAATGAAACAGTGCAGAAGTTGTAAATCCAATTGTTGTGTTATTACTTTCACAGTTATAGTGTTCATTACAGAAGAGGCCAAAACTTGTATACTTGCGGTATGCGTAATTGCACTATTCCAATCAGAATGATACTCATTTGTAAGGAAGGTGATAGTAAATTATTCGTCGAAGTCATAGATCTGATCATTATTTCATTGAATATGAAGTCCTAAATAAATTTGGAAAAGTTGCTGTTGATTTACAATTCATTCGAATCACCCAGAAAACTATATACCATGTAAAAAGTATTCATAGGAATGCAAAAGTAGAAATTAATTGTAGTTATATGAGTTGTATACATTGCTTTTGTCAGAGAACATTCACTCTATGTCTAACAGTAGAAGCGGTATCATTTTTCTTACTTATATTCTCATCTCTATAGACTTTCAGATCATTCTAAAATATGTGTTTAAGTATCATCTAAATACTTTCTGAATTATACTGTGCGACTAACTCAAGGTTAGTGAGCTGCTTTTTTCTTTTTTTTCAATTGACTCAGTTATCTACTTGCTCTAAGTTTTAAGAAAGTGCGAACAACAAATGTAAAATAGCAGTACCTTGGACGAATACTTACCGTTCCTCAAACTGCGGTTACCTATAATTGTTCGCTTACTTGTCAATTTTTCTAGGTCATTTCACATTATCGATTCTATGCCTTGATTTTGTAGCCGTTTTCAAGCTCTCTGCCTCTCCACTCTGTTTTGATACGACTATTGGTTGTAAGGACCAATCATAACATGAACCAAACTTTTATCTAAAGACTAACCTGCCTATTTTCTCAACTTATCTTGTAATCCCGAGGTTGTGTAATATCTGTACTTTCTTACCTGGGAAAGGGAACCAAACACTTTCCCATCTAATTTTGTCACCGCCAAGCCTTATTGTTAATTGAGAGTGTCTTTAAAGTAGTTCTGAACATAGATTTGTGATGCAATCGGAAACGTTTTCTCAATATTGTATCTAAAATTGTGATCGTATGTTGTTAACTAAGGCAGAAACAAATTCATTATTGGTTGGAAACGCACTCAAATTTTCAGTTCCGCCTGATAAACTTCGACTATGCGAATGAGAGACAGTTCGAACGTTCTTCAAAGACAGGGTGTTTGAAGCAGTGAATGTAGAATAAAAAGAATCATAGTTACCACTAATACAAGCTAGTTATGCAAAGATGAGCATGTATATAAATGTTATTTAGAGTGATTGTACACTGTAGTTTATGTTAGCTAATATCTACCATCAAAGACGTTTAGCGAGTAAACTAAGATAATTTATAGATGAGAAGTATGACAATCAACTTCCCACTTGACGAATACAAACATGATGAAGAAGAAGGGAGCAGATGACAATAGTACAGTTATATGAGACTCTGTGGCCACGGTAAAATGAAGAATTCAAGATGTCGCTTTTGAACATAAAGCCTGGTCTTCATTTGAATACTTAGTGAAGCCTCTAGCTTAAACCAGCTTTCAATTTATATTCGTTTTTAGCCTACTTTCTTAACCTTGTGGATATTTTCTAAGAAACTATTGACGCATCTACGTGATCAAAGTTGATGAGGTATCATGAAATCGCGAAGTCGATTGATTTGCTTCATCCTTTCAATAACCAACCAAAATAATGCTCGAAGATGCGTTTGTTATCGGTACTTTGTGTGTAGACAATAAAACCTCGTGAATAAGTTTGAATTTTAAACCTTTGTAGTCACTAACTTCTCTAAAGCATATTTCAGTTACTAGCATATGTGATACTTAAGGGAAGTTTACTACTACTTACATCTTGCATGTAACGGAATGAACTTTTTAAATTTTTGAAGAGTGATTTAATGTAGCGACAGTATCCCCGTATACTTGCGTGAAAAATAAATTAGCGAAATTCCTATGAACAGGTTTGATTACTGAAAGGTTTTAATCGAGCTCATCCGTAACTGTTTATCTCATCATTCTGACTGGAAAATCCTACCGTTGACTTTTCTACCCGTTTATTAACCGGAAAAGTAATTTGGGAACGAATATTTATAGTATTCGGGCATTGAAATCCTGTTCTGACCGAAAAGTGTCAAGTAGATAAAAATCACTTCACCTATAAATTTTTTTATGAATAAAAATAATATATTTGTAATATCCTAGTAAGCACAAAATTTAATGTCAGGTGTAAGTTGCTTCCTCAGAGAATAAATAATTTTTTTTTCAGATTGTTCAGGGAATAAAGCGGATGAGAACATTTAGTACATAAAAGTTTGACTATACAAATGTCACATTTAGGTGATCCTGTATTATACATATTTTTGTGTACATGTTTATGTGAGTAGGTGTGGAAAATGTTATATTTATAGTATAAGTCATTTAATTTGTGTCTTAGTTGTATGTTCCCAGCTGCGTTAAATATGATTGTTCAAAAAACGTTTCTGGCTGGTCGGTTAGTTAGCTCCTCACTTATATCGAAAACTGTAGAACTGAGCAATATGTGAAGTGCCTCAGCTATGTTTCTCTGTTTTTAGTTGAAAAAGAGTTTTTGGATCATGTGGATATTTTTAACATCGGTTCGATTGTTGTTAAACAGCACATGGAGTGCCATTGCTGATTCCATTTGTTAATTTTCAAGTTCTACAGGATCGTTAGGTATTTTCGCTACTCAAATATTACTCCGGATTGATCAAGATTTCAGTAGACCATATGATATAAACTATATTATAATCAATCCAACTTAATCTATCTACACTGTTATGTGTTAATGTAAATCGGATCTTTCTTTCATCTAAACCAACACATTTCTAAATGCGTCAGTTATTTAGTAAAGGTTTTAATTGTGTATTGCCCCAGAATTCATGACTTTGACTAGCCCAATTCCAACAACTTTATAACAAAATTACACTAAATAGAAATGTATGGAAGGTGGATAACATTTAGTGAGTATATTTTCCATTGTAGTCACAATGTTTTGTTGTAAAATACGTTTGGTAATATCCAGCCCGAGAGAAAGTCATATACCCGAAAATTGAAAAATTCGATTCGGCAAATTGAAATGAATTCGAAATAAATCTAAACACATCAAGAACAGCACTTCCCAAATGTGTTAAACGCGTTTAAAAAAAATGTGATACCACAAGTAAAGATGGAATCAGAATAAAGGAGTAATAACCTTCACTTGTGGCGCTTTTTGTCAGGAGACTCGCCTAGCACAGAGGATTATAGATAATCTAAATAATTCAACAAGGGTTAATAAACAGCTAAAGGAAAAAATGAAGCTGAATGAAGGCTCTTCACATTTAAAACACAACAGATCGAATTACTGACCAAACCTCTTGGTTGCTTAGGCCATTCATAAGAAGTTAAGGAAGATAATCATAGGACACGTTAAATGTGATCGTAAATAAAGGGTTCTAGAATATCTTCGGTGACTTGTAGAAATGTGACACGATTTACAAAGAGGAAGAGCGATGACAAACAGGACTTGTGAAATACAATGCACTCAGAATTTCAGTGAATAAATGAACTCAAAAGTCGCTACTCTTGCAGTTGAATGAATTATAGTATGTTTGGAGCTAAGATTTACCATTCATGAACAGTTTATGATCATTCATGTAACCACCATTTTTATTTCTACATCATTCCGTACAGATTTTAATTCCATATTTGTAAATTAAGCTATGTATTTAAAATCAACTTAACATATATTCATTACGTATAAACCGATATTAATTGCTTTTTTTCTCAATGTTTTCAAAATAAAGATACTAGATATTTCAAGAGTGGATACACGTCATTCAGGAATATTTTTATGCAAGGCAGAAACTGTTAATCCAACATGGTCACCACAAAATTCAGAATACGATTCACGCTTATACGAAAGTGGAGTTGTAACTGCACCTTTCTTGATACAAATTCAAGCCATTCGTGGCATAGTTTATTCACGTCCACGTTTACTGCCGGGAAGCCCCATGGAAATATTCTCTACAACTGATTCAGATGAATCACGGTTGGTGGATCCATATAAACACTTTGTTAACAAGCGTCAGGATGAACAGAGGCTAGATACAATTCAAGGTTCACCCAGTTATTTGCAAACTGTCTTGCCTTTATGGCGTGGTAGTGATAAAGAGAAAGAAAAACCTATTGTGACAAAGGCAAGAAAGATAGTTCAGGAGGGTGGAAGACTCATATTAGAATGCCAAGCTCGTGGGAGACCGAGTCCCCAACTACTCTGGTATAGAGGTGGTATGGGATCTTCAACAACAAATAGTTCTCAAGCTATTACATTCGATCAACGGATCAAGTCAGCATTACAACACTTACCTCTGGAAGATGTACAACGAGAACTGGGAATTCTTATCGCTGATTTCGATCATCTTTTTCCTGCTGTAATTAACATGGTAAATATATCAAATGAAGTTACAAACAAAGCACCTGAAAATCCTGGAAGCATCCACAGAAAAGGAATACAAACACATGAGTTAGGTCGTTTTCAGTTGTCTACTGGTCTTCGAAAAGATGACCGGGGAGACCCGGTTATAGCAATGTCACGCCTAACAATCAACAACTTAATGCCTTCAGATGCCACTCGTTATACTTGTCTTGCTCTCTTGAATTTGAATTACTATGGTGGAGCTGGAAATTTTACAGATGTTGGGAGGTGAGTGTATATCTGTAAAAGTTAATTAAATGAGATGACTTACGTACGCGATAAACCTTCTTGCCTAAAATTAAGTCTTGAATTATTCCATGTCCAAAGACATTATGAGGACAATTCTTTATATGGAATAGAAGAAAGTTGTCATTTGATGTTAGTGAGAATCAATTTTCAAGTTCTAGAGTTTCAACTGAGATTTGAGTGTCATATTTAGCAAGAATTTACTATGACTTCATGTCGACGTATCTCGTATGAGTATTTTTACATAAGTGAATCAAAGAGTAGTAGAATAGTTAGCTCATTTGTTTTATCCAAAAATTCATGATACTTTTTCTATTGATATTCTTGAATCAGGCAAGATCAACGAATGTAGCAAAATAATATGAATTCGTTTGTTATATGAATTCCCTTTTGCTGCTTATAACCTAGAAAACATATTCTAACTTTACAGTTGATGAATTTATTGTCATTGCTTTTTGTGTTTTTTAAAGTTCTTTTTCATAATATTCTAACTTGATGTAGGTTTCTACTTAGCTGAAGCTTTTCATCAACACTCGTACTATTTTTTTGCAGCATTCTTCCTGATGTTGTTCTCAGACCCAGATTTGTTCGCTCAGGAACTAATTTAAAAGCCAGCGGATATCCTGGAGAAAGTTGCAGGCTAACATGTGAAGCATACGGCGGTCTTCCGAATGAAATGGGTCTACGGGTTCGGCTTTTAAAAGGTCCTGGTGTCAACAAACTAATTTCTTATTTATCTTATTCTATGTATTCGGAAAATAAAAATCCTATATTTAAGTCGTATGAAGATCTTCCTGAACCCCAGTCAGTTCATTCTTCATACACCAACCCAATGTTTAATCATAAATCATTCGTCAAAGACAACGAATTAAGTGATTGGTTTCCATCTGATACACAGTACACAAGTTTGTTGACTGGAAATGACATGAGCGATAAATCAAATAACAGTGATTTTATTGAAATTGTCAAACCTGGTATGAATCCTCGATATCACTTGAAAGTTGAACCAGATCCACGAAATCCATACGCAACAATTCTACGTTTGGATATTACAGGTAAGCTTTTATAAACTATAATATCATATATCAACAGATTATGTGTATTGTCAGAAAATGTAATTGTGTCGCTTTTGATTATTAGTTATTCAGCAACATAAACTACTACCGTAGTTAGCTATTTATTCCTAAAGACAATTTGTGATAAATTTTCTGCAAAACGTTTAGTAATTGTCCATAAAGCTTGCGTTTCACTACTCTTTCAAACAGTATCTGACAAAAAGATATTTTCACTGCATGAAATTTTAAGAATTGTTCACTAATCTTCAGAATTGTTTTGTAACATTAGCATTTTAATTACTATGCAAATTGATATAGCGAGCAATGATTTAACGGATTGCAGTGGGAACGATACATGAGAATGACATTTTCCCAATCCCTTGTGGCATATTATTACATCCTATGAAAGAGTAATTACGTAACTTAGTCAGTTAGTTATGTATGTTGGTCATAGATATTTAATTATATGAAATTGTAAATGTGCTCACTCTGTAGGTTACTGATTAATTGATGTTGAGTAATACCCAATTTAAATTATATAAATCTGAATATTAATCTGGCTAAAGAACCAATATAAAAAGTAGCGTATTCAGGTATTGGTTATATCTATTTTGGAAATCAAAAAATCCTTATCACTAGTTTGTTTTTTTCCTTCTCATTGTTGGATTTGGGGTTCCAGTATTAAGCACATGTCAGTCAAGACTTCAGCAAACATAACACACATATGATTATGAAACTTGTAGGTAATATTTTAGTGTTTTGTGATAAGTGTTCTTTGTATATTTCTGGTTTTTAAATACTGTAAATTGTGATTCGAAAAATACTTTACAAAATATTTTTTCTTTGGATTTTCCACAACGAAACCAGTCACTCACCTTGAAACTAAGTCAATAAAAAGGTTAATTCTGTACATTACATTTGCTCGAGAGCTATCTTATTTTGGGTATCATTAAAAGTCAGTGAGGACTGTACAACTGTTTTTTCCTAATATGGAGCTCCTTAGGAATGCGCCCATACTGACTACAAGTGAGCCTAAACTATAATTCCTGAACTCTAAATGTTGATGTATTTGGTAAGAATGGATTATCATAAAATCAGTGATTCCAGTAAGAAAATTGATAAGATTCGATCATAATTGTGCACTAATTAAGAAATCGATTTGGTTATTTTAATTTAGAAACATATTCAGTTTCAGTAAGAATATGTATTATATTTTCAACATTCATTGTTTGCATACAGATTGAAGGTAACGATATTAACAAATTGCTTGTTTTCGATAAATTTTGGATGCAGTCATCTAAAAGTATTGAATAATTTAGAGATATATGATTTATACTCAGTGACCCCAAAAACAGTATTATGTAATAAAATGGTCCTTTCTGATAAGGAAGATAACTATATGTAATAGATAGAACTCAAACTCAAAAAGATTTTTTCACTTGTGTAAAATGATTTAACGGGCAATCATTACCAGTCTGTAAAGACTTTGTCAATTTGTGAGTGGAAAAATTTAGGATATTTTAGTAATAGCACTAATTATATTTTGGACATTTTTCTAACTCCTTTAGTATTTTTTTATTGACCTGATGCAAAAAAGTATTTTCTTGATATGAACTGTCAAATCTGACACACTTCAACTGAATTGGGCCGGATTACTCAACCAAAATAAACAGTATCACTTGTGCATATTTGAATTATGAAGATAACTAAGCCATTTAAATATTTCATTGAGTTATAACAACAGGTTTTTTTGTTTAATTAACGACTTAAAATTTAAAAACCTTTGAGTTCTTTTGACGTTACTTACGTGGTAATAAATTATCTACGTGCTGGTTAGTTGCATTTTACATGCTTTTTGGTCAATGGCTGGCGTGCTTAAATAGTGATTCTTGTGATTGATTCAGTCAACATTCTGAAACCTAAGTAGCAGTTAGATTTGTCATTCACTCAGAATAACGAAAAATTAATATCTATAAATGACTGACTCTTATAACGTATAAAAATATATGAATTACGATGTTCGAGCATTTGTTCATTTTCTTAAACAACTGCTATCGATGAAATTTAAGTTACTAATTATCGACAGAAATTACACCAATTTCTTCGTTTCAATACTTTTCAGATTTAACACCAGAAGACAATTCATTTTATTTATGTGAAGCACTCTCCGGACCTCATTGGCGAGCAGTTACTCCTACATCATCAGAACCGCCTGGGAGAGTGACAGTTTGGTTCGCTCCACCTGCCGTAGAGCCTCGACGTATTAGTGAAATATCAGACCGATTGGATGCGGATGAAAGTGAAACCCTCTCTCAACCTGGCAAATTTGTTGTTTATGGTCTATCTCATTTACCTTCTAAAATAGCTTGTCAAGCACTAGGACAACCAACACCTCAATGGAAATGGGTAGGACCGCAAAGTGGACCAAGTGTACCATTAGGTGAACTAAATGATCCAAAAGGGTAAGTGACCTTCCTGATTAGCGTTGTGCACTTCAACTCTGCATTACATTGGAAATTGTAAAAATCCTAATTTTAGTTTTTAAAGGCTGAAATAAAACAATAAGTACTGATTTTAAAAACTTACTGTCAATTTATCCTGAGGAATTAAAATGCCTAAAAGTAAATGTGTCAATAAAATAATAAAGAAGAGCAAGTGATGTTTTGGACTGGATGATTAGCGTCTACAACAGTACTTTCTGCTACTTTGTGTCACTGTGATGTAAAAGTTTGATTACTGGATAAATAAATAAATTGAGTTTATCATAAAAGTAGCCTTAGATTAAAATTTCTACTCTATGTGAAAAATATGATAAAATTAACCAAAAAATCTGTTTATTTGTCTGCGCCTAGCTGTCTTCCAGTCTACTCCGACACCAGACATCACCTATTCAGGTGGCGGTGATTAGGCACATGTAACACATGTCCCAACCAACTCAGTCGACGAAAATTTAAAGTTTTGTCAATCGATTTGACACCTTTGTCAAGTGAAATATTCCTTATCTCAACACTGCCCACTTGGCAAGTTCCACGAAATGAAAGCAATGCTTTAAAGACATTTAGAAACCTACGAATATTCTCTACTTCTATATACCACGTTTCACAGCTGTCAAGGGAAACAGAGCTAACTACTTCACAGTAAATTTGCCATTTAGTTAGCAGACGGCCATCTCACCTACGTTACAAGTGAGACATGTTTGCAAAAGCTAACCGACCTCTCTGAATCCATGTCGAGATTTTGTCAGACGCCAACTCAATAGGGCCGATGAAACTTTCAAGATAAGTGAAGTAACCACCACACTTAACTACCTCATTATCTATCATTAGTTCATGCGTTGACACAAGCAAGTACTGAGACAACATTTTGCATAAAGAGAGATAGTAGTGCATCCCAATCATACTTACAGTGTTGCTCAATGTGACCGAAAGACTCTGCATCATGTCGGAGTTTTCACCAAAAAAGACTATGACGTTGAGATGGTGGAGAAGATTTGTAGCTCAGGTGGATAATTTTGGTGGGGTTTTGTTCACTGAGCTGGATGGTTTGGTCGTGGAGCTTTCATCGCTTTTCTGAACGACATCAACAACACAAGCTTCAGGTAGAACAAAACCCCACCAAAAAGACTATTACGTCTTTGTATTCTAAGGAGTGCAGTAAATAACCTGGTAGCTCGACCACCGAGAAGTCAGTCATGTGAAGAGCGCTGTTTCTAGAAGGACATCTATGTGAAACTTTAAAAAAAAGGAAGACAGTGGGAAACCCTGGAGAATACCATTTGAGGTTGAAAATCCCAGAGACAGTTCACCATATGGTCCGGCTCGACTGATAGTCTCTGAGTAAAGAGCCTTCAGAAGGTTTATTTATCTCTATGGTATACCTTTTAATGACAAACGTATCCACAGAACCTCTCAGTCAACAGAGTCGAATTCTGTCTTAAGTTGATAAATAGAAGTTCAGTGATAACTTTCCAAGTTAAAATAGTTTGTTTTGAATAAAGGAATCTCGTACAGTAGAATATTCAGAAAAATATAATAGAAACGTTTAGCTACTTTTTAAGCTTTCTGCAGCCAGCTGACAATATTTTCATCAAACTATCTAGAAAGAATATTTGATATGCATCCAAAAATTTTTTTGTTACTCTGTCAAGTGTTGTCAAGACTGATAGAGTAGAAAAAAATGTGCAACTGGTCCTATAATTTAATTTTATGTCATGAGGAAATTTTATTTAGATGCATTGTTTGCCTCTGATTATGGTAAAACCTTTCCTTTAAATCCAATATGATGTTTGACTAGTGTCCCATAACTACTCACCAAAGACATCCTGCAGTTCATTTGCAAAATATTTTGGTTATCAGTTTGTTTTCGAATTATGACACGGATGGTAATCGCTAACAATTGTATATGCTTTAAATGTACATAAGAAACAAATAATATGCTAAGTTTTCACACTAATGAACTAGTTTCATATTCTGACTATTAGTTCACCAAATAGTTTCAAAATCTTTGCTATACTATCACTATATACTATGTTTATCATATGTAAGCACTGACTGTTATTCACTTATATATGTATTTTTTGCCAACTTCATGTGCTTTTACAAAAATCTTCACATTCACTTATGTACTGTACACAATCATTATCTGGAAAAAGAAACTGAACTTGACTTTTTAATACTCAGCCCTCTATTCTGTAGCGCATGTTATTGTACCAGTTAACGGTAGTATGTAGAGGTTTCTATAACAAGAACTCTTGCCGATGGCAAAATCTGTTTTATCAGAAGGGGTTTTGTGGAGATTGTAGTAATTTCTATGATTAAAACCACCATGGAAAACCTGGAAGCACTGGACGGCCGTTTCGTCCTATTATGGGACTCCTCAGCAGTGCGCATCCACGACCTCGCCCCCTGCCAGTCACTAGTGAGCATATGTTGGTCTAGCTTCAACTGACTCATGATCTTAATCATCGAAATTACTACAATCTCCACAAAACCGCTTCTGATAATAATCAACATATGCTCACTAGTGACTGGCTTCAAGAGGTATATCCTGGAGTTCTAGTGAGAAGTAGTGACCAGTGGAGTTCAACCAGGTCTGTTGTGAGATAGTAACTCACTGAAGACAATGGTGGATATGTCGCTCAATTTCGGGGATTAGTTGAAGTTAGACATTAATACCGTTGGATGCCTGCTCAGTGGTCTAGTGGTTAAGTGCTCGCGCGCGAAGCCAGTAGGTCCTGGGCTCGAATCTTGCAGGGGGCGAGGTCGTGGATGCGCACTGCTGAGGAGTCCCATAATAGGACGAAACGGCCGTCCAGTGCTTCCAGGTTTTCCATGGTGGTCTAGCTTCAACTGACTCATGATCTTAATCATTGATAATCTGTTTTGTTTATCAATAGTAATGCAAAATTTCAGTCAATGTTTATCTTGAAGAGATATAAATTTGTTTATTGTAAATTTAGGAGTAATTCATCTTGATGTATAGAAACTTGGTGCGTATTAGAAAAAGCAAATGTTCACAATGCCTTTACATACAAAACCACTTTAAAGGATATTTGGCTTATATTCAAAACAAAATTGACTCTGTACTAAACAAAATATTAAGTGATATATATATTGGTTGTTTAAATTTTCCTACTAATACTTAGAATTGCAAGTGATCAGTTTCTGACTAAAAAAAGAAACCCATGTGTAACAACACATGTAACCTCAGCAACATTACCATGTTTTTTGTCAGTCTGTCCATTTCAGATAGACTTAGTTCTTATTATAAAAGCTTCCCTTGACTAAAGCTATTTGATGCCTTTATCAGTGACCTTTAGATATGCAAATTTATGAATTACTTACTTACGCCTGTTACTCCCAATGGAGCATAGGCCGCCGACCAGCATTCTCCAACCCACTCTGTCCTGGGCCTTCTTTTCTAGTTCCATCCAGTTCTTGTTCATTTTTCTTATGTCTATCTCCATTTCTCGGCGTAATGTATTCTTTGGTCTTCCTCTCTTCCTTCGACCTTGAGGATTCCATATGAGGGCTTGTCTTGTGACGCAGTTCGGTGCTTTCCTCAATGTGTGTCCTATCCACTTCCAGCGCTTCTTCCTGATTTCTTCCTCCACTGGGATCTGATTTGTTCTCTCCCACAGTAGGTTGTTGCTGATAGTGTCCGGCCAGCGGATCTGAAGTATTTTGTGTAGACAACTGTTAATAAACACCTGTATCTTTTGGACGATGGATTTCGTAGTTTTCCAGGTTTCCGCCCCATACAGTAGAACTGTCTTCACATTTGTATTGAAAATTCTGACTTTGGTGTTGGTTGCTAATTGTTTTGAGTCCCAGATATTCTTCAGTTGCAAATATGCTGCTCTTGCTTTGCCAATCCGTGCCTTCACATCTGCATCAGATCCACCGTGTTCATCGATGATACTGCCCAAATATGTAAAGGTTTTTACATCTTCCAAATCTTCTCCGTCAATTGTGATTGGATTGGTGCATGCTGTGTTGTATCGGAGAATCTTGCTTTTCCCTTTGTGTATATTGAGACCTATGAATTACTTTTATTAATTTTTACATTTTAACTAACACCTTGTAATAAGATAATAAAAACCCATTTATATTTTAAAGCAATTAGTCCCTTTTATAAATTTCGATAATGTAATAAGAAGACGGAGATTATCAGAATTATGTGATGATATATTAGTGCAATACATTTCGAACAATCTGATCACACATATACTTGTTAAGAGCATTTATATATAAAAATAAAGGTCAACTAGACTGGAAATGAGGTAAGAGGTTTATTGAAGCTTTAGCCATACGAAAATTCAAACCCCCTTTGTGTATTCAAAAAACAGTTTGTTCTTACCTTAAACCTACCCTGGTAATATTGACTTATTATCCAGAGTGATTAGGTTTTGAATAGTGTTCAGATTATTATTATTATTATTATTATTATTATTATTAATATTATTATTATTATTATTATTATTATTATTATTATTATTATTATTATTATTATTATTATTATTATTATTATCTCCTCTTACCTCATTTCCAGTCTAGTTGACCTTTATTTTTATATATAAATGTATTGCGCTAATATATCACATAGTTCTGATAATGTCCATTTATAATTCTTAATTTCAGTTATATTAAAATGGACTATCAAGACGGTGAATATTCTGTAACTGAATTAACTGTTCCTGCTGGTTATTGGAATGTCGGAGTATTTGGTACTTATTCATGTACTGCAACCAATAGATTAGGCCATGCTACTGGACATGTTCGACTGCAGCTAGCAAGCCATCCTGGTAGACCATCTTTAAGAGCTTGTAGAGTAAGTTAACTAATGAATAGTTTTCTTAAGATATGCAGTAAATGAACTCTCGAAAATATTCTTTTTTTTCTTGATCAGGTCACATGAGAAAAACATAAGGTACCACTCAAAAAGTTTAATTTACTATTCATTGTGTTAATATTGATCTATAAGAATGAATCGACCAATCATATTTTAGGTAATCGTCTATCTCTTAGATTAAGTCTATTCTTAGACTGACAAATTACGAAGTCGCACTTTTTAAAAAAATAAAAATGGGTATTTCTTTCATGAATTAGCTTTTGTCATGTCCTTACTGGTATTCGAAATATATGTGTTTATTGTTCCTTTCCCACATTTTGAACTATATTAATTCGTTTCAGAGACAGATAGTTTCACTCATCAGTAAACAAATTAGATCCTACATATTTTATTTGTTTTCTTCTAAAAGGTAATCTCAGTTAGATTTATCAATAAGTGTATACGCATATCATGTATTGTAAATGTTCATTTCACATTCCTTCACTTGAAATCTTTTCATAAAAATAATTTTCTCTTTTGCAAAGTGATGCAGATGTTATTACGATCAATTTCGAGATTTATTGTCACTGGTGCTAAACTATTACATTAATATGGTTTAATAAGATTTTTGATTAGAAAGATATTTATTAAAAACTGACATTATTTCTGAAATTATAAGGAAAAATAAGCTAGATAGTTAGATCTTAATTTCATTGGCACATGGGTGATCTACGAAATGTTTATCTTTTAATCGTTGATGTATCAGTTAACTTCTAATCGTGTTTATTCATCTGTTCAATATTCTGTAATATAAACGTGGTATTTTATTCAAAAGAACTTGTTCTTTGGGCTAGTAATTGTCTTGGATATCAGTTCATTGTGTCAATAATCGGGTGTCCTGAGAAGCCATAAATCGACTACTTTTTGTCATTCCATTTCAACTATTAAGTTATCTTAACAAAGTATATTCGTTGATTATATATCCATTTATAACTGTTTCGGAAAATATTATCAAAAGAGATGATGATCATTCAATATCAAGGAATAAGAAGTGTAAAGTACCATTGTGGTGTATGCTACTTATGTTGACAGATATAAGGAGTATGTAGACCAATCAGAAGTGGAATGCCTTGCAGCAGAAGACTGGAAAGATCGAACTGGGGAGAACAGAAAGGGAAACAGAGAGGAATTGGAATAAAAACAGAACTGGAAGAATCATGAAGTATGTAAACGACAACTAATGGAATATATGCAAATGATATAGTTAATGTATGTATATTATGTATGTATTTAACGTATGTATGTAATTATATATACATTTCAATATTTCAACTAGGTTGAAGCAACTTTAATTGAATTGTGTGTTGAACCTCCACATGAGACAGGTGGTTTGCCACTAACTCATTATGAATTAAGAATCCAAACTCATCCACGTGGTGCTTTTCATGGGCCTTTCGCTTATCTTCCTGGTCGTAGAGTGCTGAGATTACCAAATCTTATTCCAGGTTATTACTATCGATTTGCGCTGTCAGCCGTATCAAGAGCAGGAAGAGGACCAAATGCATATTTACAGGTATGTGTAACAGCACTTATTGCTCATTAACCTTGTCCACCGTTGAAAGTTATCCATCACAAGTTGTTAATGCGAGCTACTTATTATCATCCTTATCTTTAAGATCTTTTTATCTGACATTGCAGCACAATTCTTATATTTCACACAAATCATTGTAAACTATGCACACTATGTATGTACAGAAAAACCAGCTTATTCATTTCCTTTAGCTGATTAACCAGTGGTCGCCTTTTGTCACGAAACATCTTAATGTTCCTGATATGCTCAATTTGAAACATCCGAATAAGCAGCAGTAGTAAAATTCATTCGTCCTACTCTGTAGTTAACGAGTAGTCCCACGTCATAATTTACATCTTATCGGTAACCTTCAACATGACGTATCAATAATCTGGCTAAACACATACTACTTTTAAGTTACGAGCTTATTTTATATTATTTTCGATGTTCGTTTGAGTTGTTTGCAATAGGTTTGTGGGGAGAATGTATTTCTTTTACTTTCTTGTTCAAAGTCAACTAGTAATAGAAGAGAAAATATTCTACTATTAGGAAATTGTTTGATTGTGAACGATACATTCATGATCACTACATGTTTCTTATTTATTCAGTCTTCTATTATAAAATATCCTTTACGAATTACTGCTAATAGAATATCCAGTTAATGTTGGTAGAAAACGGAAGTTTTTTTTTAAAGTTTAATAAAGGTATATAATTCATGTTTTAATTAGTATTTGTCATTTGTAATCATCAATTAACTTTATATGTTGATAGGTTACAACTAATCGATTATCTAGACCTGTAATTAAACTACTTGCTTCTCAGGATTATATTAGTCCTACAGGATATAATGTTCATTGGAATACAGAAACTACAAACGGTATGGATATCAATCAATATAATATCAATATAAGACCAGTAGAAGTTGATTATTCCATGGGTAAGTTTAATATTTTCTCCATAACACACATAAAGGCTAGGTATGATTATTGTTATTTTTATTATTATGTAAAATAAAACAAAACTTCAATATCTTTCAAGAAGACAAAATCAATTGAGCTTCTGATGACCTGGTAAATACTTTAATTAATGGTGGCGAAGCTCAGTCGTGCTTAAGAGTGTTTGAACATTTCAAATTGATTTTTTTCAAAGCTTTTATTAAAATAATCAGTGAACACCGAACATAAACTAGATGTCAATGAATGGTAAGAATAGTTTTTCAAGTTGTACATTGAAATGGACAAATCTTCATAAAACTAATGAAGTACTTACTTACTTACTTACTTACTTACTTACGCCTGTTACTCCCAATGGAGCATAGGCCGCCGACCAGCATTCTCCAACCCACTCTGTCCTGGGCCTTCTTTTCTAGTTCCATCCAGTTCTTGTTCATTTTTCTTATGTCTATCTCCATTTCCCGTCGTAATGTGTTATTTGGTCTTCCTCCCCTCCTTCGGCCTTGAGGATTCCACGTAGGGGATTGTCTTGTGACGCATTTGGGTGCTTTCCTCAATGTGTGTCCTATCCACTTTTAGCGCTTCTTCCTGATTTCTTCCTCCGCTGGGATCTGGTTTGTTCTCTCCCACAATAGGTTGTTGCTGATAGTGTCTGGACAACAGATCCGAAATATTTTGTGTAGAGAACTGTTAATAAACACCTGTATCTTCTGGATGATGGCTTTCGTAGTTCTACGGGTTTCCGCCCTATACAGTAGAATTGTTTTGACATTTGTATTGAAAATTCTGACCTTGATGTTGGTTGCTAATTGTTTTGAGTTCCAGATATTCTTCAGTTGTAAATATGCTGCTCTTGCTTTGCCAATCCGTGCCTTCACATCTGCATCAGATCCACCGTGTTCATCGATGATACTGCCCAAATATGTAAAGGTTTTTACATCTTCCAAATCTTCTCCGTCAATTGTGATTGGATTGGTGCATGCTGTGTTGTATCGGAGAATCTTGCTTTTCCCTTTGTGTATATTGAGACCTACTGCTGCTACATTGGTCTTCTTCTCCTGCATTTGGTTTTGAGTTTGCGATAGAAGAGCCAGATCATCTGCGAAGTCTAGATCATCCAACTGCATTCTAGATATCCACTGTATCCCGTGCTTCCCTTCAGATGTTGACGTCTTTATGATCCAGTCGATCACCAGGAGAAAGAGAAAGGGTGAGAGTAAGCAACCTTGCTTGACACCGGTCTTTACTATTGAGGCACTTAGGAATAATACTACCATTACCAGAATATTTTAAAGAAAAAGGAAATAAAGTCATTAATCTTGTCTCTCTAAAGTATGATGATTGTAAATATCCTGGCCAGTTGGTTTTTGAGTCCTATGAATTAGATGAGTGCTGCAACTTATGCTAGTAACAACTACCAGCTAATACTGATATTAATGAGAAACAATCAGATGGGAATTGTTTCTTAATTTCTTTCGTCCTCATTTTACTTATTCCATGCACATATCTGTAGTTCAAATGCAAACTTTCTTATTTGAGTTCATCTGACCCGTTTTCACTAGATGCGATTTCGTAATGTGTATAAAAGTAATAAATTATTCTATTTTCCAGCTGTTGTTGTAAACATAAGGTGGAAGAAAACTATTTAGGAATGACAAGACCAAATTTAGTTAGTGCCTGTGTGTAATATATGGGATGGTGTTACTTATCTTGAATAGTAAAAGAAAACAATTTATTGACAGTAAAAAAAAAATTCAAAATTGTCCACTTTTTTTCGCTCTCCAAATATTATGCATCTTATTATTTTAAGTCTACTTGTTACTCTACCAGCTGATTTCTTTCTCCTTATTTCCTTTTCAAAGTTTTCTTTTACCATCGATTTCTTCGTTTTAATTAACATAGGTGTCTAAAAAATTAAGTCATTAAATTTTGACATGAGATTTTATATTTTTGTATATGACTTTTGAAAAGAAAATTTTAAATAAGTACATATGCCCAATAATTCTTCAAAATATTGATTAGTTATTACAATCATTTGTTCTGTATGATCGAATCTTGTACTCTTAAACATATATGTGTGCAAAGTTTTCTCATGTCTTAGCTATGTATGCTGATTGATCACACAGTAGTAACCAATCTTCTGTTTGTCTAGTCCTTACTGCTGATCAAATTCTATCAACTAAGTTATAATATGACCAATAGTGAGACGCCAAACTGTATATATTATCTTTGAACATAGGTATACGAGATCAAAAACTCCATCTTTGTTTCGTACTGTTTGACAGTTAATAGCAAAGTGCACTTTCATTACTGAGGAAACTGATACACAGACCTTAGTACTGAGCTGTTCTGCTCTTGACAGATACTCCTTAGGACTAAAACATATTTATGTTCAAAATGTGATGATGGTAATAGTGATTTTAAACAGGTTAATGATATGATTTGAATTTCTGTGACTAGTTTGTTCAGTTACTTATCAAATAAACGATAAATCATTTTAATAACCACGTTGGAAGATGCTAAATGGGATAATTTCCTTATTAATAAAATTCATGAGAAATAATCTAGTCTTGTTTTATCGACGATACTATCTTTCATCAACTTTTATTTTGTAAAATATGGTTTGGCTCGTGTTATTCTTTCTTCCCAGTTTACCTTCCCATAATAGTAAAATCGGTGATACCTTAATTTATGGACGACCTTAGAGCGACGCCAAAGTGATCTTGAGACAACTCGCCTTACTATAGGTCAAAAAGCGGGTTATAAATTAGTATAAAGAATTAAGATTAGGATTTAGAGTTAGAATTTAGGTTTAAGAATTAAATCAACGGTTTTCATCACGAACTAACATAGGCTATAATGCCAAAGTGTTATTTAATTATATGGGTAGATGGACTTCGCAGCAGAATATAAGACTTGATATCTTAAATCTAATTGGTTCGTTCATAAATTATAATCTCGCCGTAAAATCGATTTTTTAAAAGTTGTGAAACGATATAAAATAAAACACATCCGAGTGATAGAAAATAAATGACGTAATTTTTGACGATAATTTGTCCGTAAATTACTATGTTTAATATAACAACGGAGCTTTACAAATACGAGGGCTCAGGACATTATTTTAAGGCTTAAGCCATTACCACTATAAATACATCATGTTTAATTAGCCACGTAACATGATATCGATGTAAATGTAATAAATTGTCCACTATCATTTCAAAATTCCCATTAATTCTTTTGAATCTCTGGTTTAACTAAATCTGAAAATTAAAAACACACAATTAATACACTACTCGATATATTAGGGATCGTGAGCGAGTGTTAGAAAAATTATTATAATCCAACACTAAATTAATAATATATCCGGATTTATTTATTTTGACACATAGATATTGGTACAAGGAGGCACCAAATATATATGCACCACACAGATCTCATTTGATATGTGTGAGGGCTGTGACATTGCTCGGGTGCCCAAATCGAAGCAGGTGGTTTTCTTAGGGGACCACACCCCGAGCTTTTGACCTAAAGGTCTAACCCACAAGGCAGTGGAGCATCGTGAGGAGATGCATTCCCATGGTAGCCAACGATTGGTTCATACGCCATTTGTTCCCGCAGGATACTGGAGCCCATATGCACCATTGGTTTGGGATCCGGTTAAAGCGCCGGACATTCGCTTTTCGTCCTCTCATTTTCGTAAACAAAAGTAATGCCACGAGAAGTCAGTGACTTCCCTGGCAGAGCCTATATACGCGTGGCCATGTGAGAGCATTTCGAGAGGGAGAGCCGACTGTCCCCACTCTCGGCCATACCAGGGCATTTGGTGGCCATCATTATATCTGCATCTCCATATTCCTTATACTTTAAAAATGATGAACCACAACAATTCCTTCGACGTGAAGTATGAACACAAAGACTGGTACACGTGATGATTTATTTACTCCAAAGCATGTCAATTCTAGTCGAAAATACATTCATTTATGTATTGATTTGTACATCCATTTTGTTTATTATTTAGAAAAAAGGTCACACATATCAAAGTGCCTAAAATTGTAACAAACTACATGCTACATGTCATGCTGAGTGTAGTTCACGTTATTACATATGAAAAATATATTTGAAATAATCTCAGCAATTGAAATTTAAATAATTCCAACGTTTCGTCTAGCTAACTTGTCTGGACTTCTTCAGGGTAATAATCAAAATCATCAAAAACTTCGATGAAGTCCAGATAAGTTAGCTGGACGAAACGTTGGAATTATTTAAATTTCAATCGCTGAGATTATTTGAAATATAATGACTTGTCTATACTCGGCGCCCAATTTCTGTCGAACTATTCGTTCTAATCTTGACGAATATTCGTATAAATAGTTCACGTTAATTTATCATACTGAATAAAAATCATATTGAAAATGGAACTAATTGAACAAATTATTACAATGAAAATAAGCTGAGTATTATTGTGAGCACTTATCACTGAATTAAAAAAGGAATTATGTGATACATTTCGAACAATCTGATTACACACGTACTTATTAAGAACACTTACATATAAAAATAAAAGGTCAACTAGACTAGAAATGGAGGGTAAGAGGAGACAAGGATAATAAATAGTCGTTTTCACGATAGAAATAAAAGATTCCCTTGATGCAGTCTATATGTACAATAGTGTTTATGCAACTATCTAAATAAAACTAGGCTTCATTTGATTTATAATTTATCCAAAAATTAGGTGAGATAGCTGGACGTCCTATTGGATCTTGGACTCATTTTAATAACATTGAACCTCTGTGTGTTACATCAGTGACAGAAGATCAAAAAATATGCAATTTCTTAATTGACGATTTAAAGCCAAATAGTGCATATGAACTAGAATTATCTGGACAGAATTCAATGGGATTCTCAGAAACACAACGAATCATATTTAGAACATCATCATTGACAGGTGTGAATGGACGAATACTAAATATGCCCTCAACTATGAGATTAAAAGGGAAATCTAATCATGTTCATCTAGCAAATAGTTCACTTATTTTTCTGTTAGTCACTATTCTACACTTCAATTTAATTTATAAAAGACTTATGTTTCAGTTTTTGATAAACAAGATATAAATGTTATATAAGAAAACTTCTTATAGGCAAAGTCTCGCATAATCACATTGAATAGCTGCCTCGTACATTGATTTGTTTTTCGCCTAGTATATAATTTGATATTATTGTAAAACTATTATGTTGAAGCTCTTCAATTCTCTTACTTCCTCAGTGTCGATTTGTTCATCAAATTGTGATATTTATACATAAACAGATTTTAATTATAATTTCTTTTATTTTAGTTCGTCAGATATCTACTTCTTTATTAAGTTTGTATTATTATTATTATTATTATTATTATTATTAATTATTATTATTATTCTTTACATCACCTTACATTTTATTAATATCTATCAACATTTGTTGAATATTTGAATCTATAAGATTAATGTCACTTTTATTATTTTCACCATCTTTGTATTTATTATTCATCATATGTCTATTCCGTTATATAATCCAGTCGAAATATGTTTTCATTGTTGTTATCATCCTTTAATGATGTGTTATTTACTACAACCTTTTTATAATATCAAAACATACTATTTATTCATTATATATATATACATATATATATATATATATATACTTCATCACCGTTTATATCATCATCAACATCGTAATTTCTCTCGTCAATGTAATTCTCAGTGTTTATGCTACTATTTTTCTCTATATTTTGAATTACCATAATCATTAATATTATTGTTATCGTTATTATTATTATTATTATTATTATTATTAATTTACTATTATTATTCACTATAAATAATATTATGAGAAAAATAAATTACTTTTTTCGATTAGTTAATTTGATCTTTCGCAGTCACAATGAAAATAATGAATTATGAACTTGTAGTTTGCAAGTTAAGTACTAAATGATTATTTAAGAAACAAATGCTTTGATTTTAATTAACAATTGATAGACAAGGGGGGGATAAAAACATTTTAAACTATCGTTTATTTCTATTAATTATCGTCCTCATCTTAATATTGCGGCTTATAAACCTGGTTTTAGCTTAAGAACAATATTGTAATTCATTTAATTAAGTACGGTACTTTTAGAATACAACTATATTGAAAATCCATCTGTAATACCAAAAGTCAAAATAAAATCAGTGTTATAAGCACATTAACGAAGACCCTAATATTTCGGTTTTTTTATAGTGATTGTTACCAAGGTTTCTGTATTTTTTTAGTCCTATTGTATAATATGAAATTTGATTAGATTGCTACGTTTACGTGATAGAATCGGAAAAAAAGTTAGCGGAAGTTTAAGAGCAACACACCATATGAGTCTCCAGACAATATAGAAGGTGTCGAGTCGAAAATGGATTGTCGAGCTCCTACTTATTTTATTATTCAATAAACATTTTTATCGGTAGTATTGTCGGTTTTATTTTGTTCAGTTTAGTTTTGATATCTATTTTGCTTGTGAATCAATGATTTGCCATCTATAGTGAATCCCAACAGTCAAAAAAGGAAAATTAGAGATTTCGATCAATCAATAAACAAACATAAACTGTTTCCAAAATCCAACCATCTACGGAAAATCAGATGAAATTAAAGAAACAACACTAACTGGGAATCATGATGCTGAACATAGAATCTGTCTGGTTTAGATGACTTGCAAATACTTAAAACATATCTTAAATGATGGATGAAATGAAATACTGCAGATAAGCTATATTTATTTATTAACCTCAGTTTGTATATTCCTAGGAAAACTTCCTCGATTTAAACTTATCTTTAAGAGAAACAATATACCTTGTTATACATTTCTAGTCAAGTATTTTCTATCAATCGTTTATCAACATACATATATAATGGGAAACCTACATTTAAAATAACCGTTACTAGTGATACACTTTGACCCATTAGTAAGATAAAATTCCTACTATGAATATTTTTATGTCTACGTAGTTTAGTGAAATGAAATTTGATATTATGTAGTTGACAATCTGAATGAAAGCACAGTAAATAGCATACAAGGGGTGACATATAGATGCATGAATTTTGATGGTGGGGAAGATTTGTAGCTGAGGGTTATTTTGGAATTATTTTTTCTCTAACCTGGATGGTTTAATGATGAAACTCCTACTTTTCTTCTTTTCGAATCACATGCTAGTGATTTTGGTCAGAGATTTCACGACTGAACCATCTCACCCAGAACACATCTCAGGAGGAGGTGTAGATATATCTCGTTGCAACTTATAGTTTCCTAAGCACGTACGTTTTATTATTCATAGATTGCACAGAACATCCTATGCACTGTTCTTTACTAACCCTTATATTATTTCAACTTCACTTATTCCAAAATCTTGTACAATGGGTTACCTTAAAACGTAAATTTTTCTAAATAGTTACAACAGTCCGCTTAAAGTTGGGTAGAACATCTAAACGAAGTAGTAAACGTGATGAAATTCTTTCTTATTTCTACTTTATTTTCACTATAATCTTATTTTTCAAACATTCCTTCCTGTATGAGCTAGTTTGTCAGTGGATTTATTTCAATAGAATATGTAATTTCATACCCCTCTCTTTCGTCTAAACATCAGGTTTGAAAATCAGCAATAATCTTCATCCTCACACTGAGCTTCCATTTTTTTACCGTACTAGTCCTGATGCTTCCAGTGAAAAACTTTAAATTGACACGAATTATTTGGGATCAAATATTACTATACTATTTCTTTGTTTGTTGGCAGATGGCAACAAAACAGTAAGACAGGAAATAACTAAAGTAAGTTTTTTTTTTACTTAATAAGCTGCTTTATTCAGATTACTCTTATTATTATAGTCGACTCTATGATCAATATTATATATTTGGTCAAACTGCCAAAATTTTTGTAGCGCATGGGCTAAAAAGTTTATTTAAAATGGTATGATCCAACCAAGACTACAACTTAGTAACGATGATCTGTTCCAATAAATTCTACGTTTATGGATGTCAGATTGAACTGTCGCTGACTTCTTCGAAGAGATTTAGTTACTTGCATAAGGTTTAAGAGAAACGATCAAATGATTCCAAGTGATCTATTGAGATTTAAATTCACGAACTTTATATAAATTAAAGTATTTAGCCTTCTATTATCGATATTTAAGGCCAAATTAGAAGGGGATTATTTGGTTAACTCTGAATAGAAAAAACAATATTGGGAAGTAACGAATTACTTTTTATTAGATTTTCATTTGAATAAAATATTCTATAATCCCTCGAATAACTTAAATTGACTCGTTCTGTTGATAACATGTTGAATTAATTAATGTGACTAGATCTATAGAAGAGGGATAACAGAAACTAAATCAAAACAAAAAAGGCATCAGAAGCTGGATGGCATGATGATTAAGACAGATTCGGTGTAGGCTGTTTTTTATACATAACCCTTGCTATAGTTAACGTATTGAAAACACCTGTGCAATTTCTAAATTCCTGTGCAAATCAAGTGACCTACAATATACCACAGTGAAGGTAGTTTCGGTTATGATGTCGTGCCTTCTATAAAGATGTATTCGCAATACTTTTGTGTGCCTTGACGAACAATTCGAGACATTTAAACTACCATACTAAGCGATATTGCTGATGTTGACTTATTGGCGTCGTTATTTTCTCAAAATAAGTGATTACACAGTGAAAGTTAGATCTGTATGTGTATATGTTGAGTATCAGATGTAGATACTGGGCAGGTAGTGATTTTATTGATTTGTTTACTGAGCTTGATAGGTAACTTCACACTTTCTGACTAGTATCATCAGAAGTGAATTCTAAAAAATACTGCACTGGAATCTCTTTAGAAGCAATTGTCTTGTTTCTTTGACATAAAATTTAATTGATTGATAGTCATAATTATATTTTTCCTATCTGCTCATTTATTTCTATTTTCTACTTCTAAATCATCTATGTTGGTTATGTTCAACCAAGCGTTTCATAGTTGTGTCAGTTTGAGAAATTAATACATATAAGAAGGATTTACGATCTCCGAGTTAGCTGACTGCATGACCCAGGTGAACTGTTTGGAAGATAGTGCCGAATTATTGTTATCACATTAAAATTTTTTTCCAGTTGTCGATAGTACTAGGTGGTAATAATTTGATTCAATGATTATATTTGAAGTTGGCTGAAGTAATAACATATTTTTATAGGTTTCAGGTATCCCATCATTCTAGGAGCGCCCAATACACAGAGTATGATCTGACCGAAGGTTTTTGAAATTCTGCTCTAGGATTGGTCTCAACAATAGCATTTCTCTTCTCTAATTTAGTGGTATAATGTCTGCTTACGTGAAGTTTTTACATCCTGATGTGATCATTGCGAATCCTGTTTATCTTGTCAGTATACTTATCCCTAATTTAGAGAACTAGTCTAAACCTTTCGACATAAGTTATGTTCAGATTCTTTTTAGTTATTTCGTTACATTATTGTAGTGTATTTGGTAAGCTTATGTTATAATGTCTTTTTGATTTGTAGACCGTTTAGCTTCTCAGATAAAAACATGAATATTAAGTCACTGAACAAATAAACTAAGTAGATAATTAATCGAAGTAGTAGTAGTAAATGATACCTACATACTGAACTGCTACGAATAAATAAAAAACTGATCAGTTTTACTCATCAGTTAGTTTTCCTTTTTCATTGTTTTAATCAGCTATCTTCAAACTGATCTATAACTACATCTAGACCTCTTCCATCAATTTATTTGGTGGTCATTTACTCAAGTATGTCATGGTTTTGTTATTTTTATGCTTGAAAAACATTTACCCCCCCCATTTGATACATTGATCGTAACTATCTCACACCAAAAAATTCAGGTGGGTGTTTTAAAAATTACTAGTACATTCCATGTCTCTTTCAGCGGCGAATGGATGTCTTTAGGAAAACGTGCTACCAATACATTGCTTTAGTGCAGCAGTACTTAGGATACTGTAGTTTCGTTGGTGCTACTCAAACTTGATTTACATAAGTCTACCGTTTCAGAAAGCACTCACCTTGTCAACTTTAGTGACTTAGTTTCGGATTTGTTTTCGTTATTTGTTGCTCTAAGATTCTTTGGAGTTCTTCTATTGTGTTATGACGGTATGGTAAATCCGCAGTACCAATCCATGGTACTTAATTCGAATTATTATTATTACGCAATGAGACGTCTTGTTTTAATATACATCTAATAATCTTCATAGGAAAATTATCAAAACTATAACACAGAATTTAAGTATATTACAAAACAATGAACACACTTCGAAATACTTTAGTCCGCTTAAAAGAAAGAATCCCATTCATGTCAACACAGAACTGCGTTTACAAATTAGGTTGCGTCGATTGTGATGCCTTCTATATTGGAGTCATCTCACGAAATCTTGACTCGTGCCAAAGAATATATTAGGTACACAAAGAAACCTAATAATCTCGTAGAACTGGATAGACTTCAAATTCAATCAGCAATAGCGGTCCACAATATTTTCAATTTAAAAAATATTACAAAAAGGTTTTTTCAATTACAAAGAAAGGTGAGTAACTGAAGCGTTCCATATAATGCTCTCAATAGAAAAGGCCTTACCATACATCCTATTTGGACTGTCTATCCTAGCCACTTACTCTGATATTATTCACAATTCACACTTATCTCTATCCTTTCTCACCATAAAGGTCACACATTTTTCATCCGGAACAGTGCACACTTACATATACACAAATTTACATACATGTTGCTTATGAATCACCTTGGCCGAAATGACATTGATTTGTTCAGATCTGTTTTTTTGATTGATCGCATAATATTCTTGTTGTTGTACTATTTAAACTTGGATTAATTTTGATTTGGTTATTTATTCTCTGAAGGAGTGGCTTACACCAAGTCACGAAACGTCAGAAAATCTAATTTTCCTACTCATTGGGATATTACAAATAGATTATTTATTTATAACAATCTACCCATTGCTCAATTTATTCGAAATTATCAAATCAAACCTTGGTAATTATATCTACACAAATACATACATCTGATAGATCAAGTTTGGTCTATTCGGTTGAGATTTTAAGTGACTACTAAAATGTTGCTCTTTACTGGTAACATTAACAAAGAGTTGTATAGTTTGTAGTTTTAAGAATCCGAGAAAAGCGATTATGAAGTTATTTAACTTTTGTTATACTCGTATTTATCTTACTACGATTGAGTCTAATTCTTTTCTTACTATTCAACTGTTAGCATCATGTCACAATAGGCTGTTATTTGAGTTCAAATTAAAAAAAAACAGTTTTGATTACCATTTCTGCAAACTTATATGGTAGCACAAAATACAATAAAGAACACATTAAGCCATGAGTTTTCATGAGACTTGTCGAACCATGTTTGAACATAACAAACTGTACCTAGCAAATAACAGGAAACTAGCCATGAATGAACTAAATTCATCGAAAAAAAGGTAATTCAGAAGTCAAAATTTGTTAGATAGTGGGCTAACATAGTGGTAGAGGTGATCCTGAAAGAATGGAGTCCTACATTCGATAATGAGGTTATGTTTAATAAATGGTTGTAGCACTACATGGTTGAAATGCTCCGATGCTTAAAGTGGCTAGCAAATGATATCAAAATTATAAATCTCTATAACGGATGTTTATCTGCTTGAAGTAACATCCTCATCATACAACGTAACTCATTCTCTACAAAAACCATTTCGGTTAAGGAAAATAAGTATCTAGAATGTATTGCGCATAACAATCACACATTGATAACTCATTGTTGCTTAAATTTTCTTAATGATTTGCTAATATCTATGTCACAGGTATCGAGAATCATCTTAGCATCTTTATTTCATATCCAATATGTTCAGTAGCATTCATCGTCCAATTACACCTTGTCTTCTGCTAAACCTTGTTATTTTCTGTCCTTCCTAACTCTTCTCCTGGACTACTGGCTAACTTGGCAAGATAAATCAATGGGATATCATGTGAGTTTCTACGTTTTATTTTAGTAGTGTAGCTAAGCCTACCCAAAATCATTTTATAGTTGGTATCTTTACAACACGTAATCAATGGTAACAGGCAAACTTGTTGAATGGTATTTGTTTACTATAAACCACATGACAATGTCAAAGATTATTCGTATACGCAATACACGTCTAATTAAGACAGGTGATATTTAGGATGATATCCCCCACACGATCCTTATAAAATTTTATTATACTTTGGGTGTACCGAAAAGATTATTTCCAAATTTCTCTTTTACAACATCATATGCACTTCTGACACAATAATTTAGTAAGATGTACAAATTGAATAACGATTATTGAGATATTATAAACTTTAGGTAATAGGACACGTGAAATCCAGTAGTGAGTGTGCAATACAATATTACGTTAAAATTAATGTAAGTTCATACGTTATGTACAATTGTTTTCTACGTAATATACACAATGGATTCGGATACATGATAACTTGGACTAACATGATATCCAGTGAAAATATGTAAATGGAAAATATATGGTGACGATAGTATCACTACATTATGATTCATGTGTGATTTATCAATGATATCAAAAATTTTATGAAGAGTATGCATGAACTACGACAAAAACAGAAAATAGTTACTAGAATATCGCAGCAATTTATATTTAATAATGCAGATCAACGAACTACTAATATCACTTTCTTTAAAAGTATTTTTTTCTAGGTCTCTTTCAATAAGATTTGTAATTACAGTCCTGTAATTTACAATGCCGAATCATTTTGCTTGGGAATGTACAATACTTATAAATACATATTATTTGTGCTAATATATTAATTTAATGTTTAACACATTCCGGGTTTAATCTCAATAAAACTACAAGAAATAAGCAAGCAGATTAGATAAGAATTTATTATCATCATAATTTTATAAAGATACCAAAGTTATCGACCCTGTAACATATATTGTTGGGACTGGAAAATTTAAATTCAAAGTACTTGAAAGACAATATACCGTAATGTTAGGAAAAATTTACATTTATGAAGAATTATGAATTTTAATCCGATGAGAATGGCTTTGAGGACGTGCAACAATATGCACAAAATTGTCAGGATAGGATAAGTGTTCACTGATCCATTGCATCGGTGTTTCGTGGGGTAATGTGATACCATGGATGAAAAACAGATACCCTGAGGGACAAAAATGGTACAACATAGTTACATCAAAATTACAAATCAAAAGAATCAGACCATATTGGACAAGACAAAAATGATTTACAAATGTAATAACATCAGTCAGTCGTATAGACCAAGCCTATTTGAATTACATTGGATCAATGGGATCACAAAGCACGAAAGTGCTTTGAAGGACAAGTGACGTAAATTTTTCAAATACGCTTTTATTTCCTGTGTATTTTTTAATCATTTCAATAAGAAAAGGCTGTAATCAATGAAGTACATGCTTTACTCGAATTATCCACATTTTCGTAACTCATCCTTAATAACACTTAAAGAACATGATTTCGGGTGTATGATAACATTTACTATTCACTAGAGACGTTTTGACCTCTATATGTACAAAACTAAATAAAAATACAATCTTTTAATGTTCATAATGCTTAGCATTTTTGTTTTAATGTGAAAAAGGCAACCAAACGCGTAATAAAAGTCAGGATATACATTAGGCTAAATGATCAATTAACACATACGTTATTGCAAGTTCGAATATTGTCATAGAAAGGTAAGACTATATTTCTTGGTTTACAGGCATAGTAGTTAGTAGAACATGAATATCGTTTGCTAACTGCTTGAAAGTAAAATACAGTTTGAACTTTATGCAGCATTGATAAACTAAGTACTCGATTTCGATGGCATAAATTAAATAACTAACCAATGATAATTATCAGAAGGGGTTTTGTGGAGATTGTAGTAATTTCAATGGTTAAGATCATGGTCTAGCTTCAACTGACTCATGATCTTAACCATTGAAATTACTACAATCTCCACAAAACCCCTTCTGATAATAATAAACATATGCTCACTAGTGACTGGCTTCAAGAGGTATATCCTGGAGTTCTAGTGAGAAGTAGTGACCAGTGGAGTTCAACCAGGTCTGTTGTGAGATAGTAACTCACTGAAGACAATGGTGGATATGTCGCTCAATTTCGGGGATTAGTTGAAGTTAGACAAACAATATTGAATGACGAATCAGTGGTCTAGAGGTTAAGCGCTCGCGCGCGAGACTGATAGATCCTGGGTTCGAATCTCGCGATGCGGGATCATGGGTGCACACTGTTGGGGAGTTTTACATCAGGACGAAACAGCCGTCCGGTGCTTCCAGGTTTTCCATGGTGGTCTAGCTTCAATTGACTCAATTTCAACAATTAATATGATTGTATTATTTGTCTGCTCACTGTAATTTAGACATTTATTCCACTATGCAAAATTATGTGTGAGTCTGATTGAGCGCATGCCTGTACATCAGTATTTAAATATATTCTCCCATTGGTTGTAACACACTGACAATTAATAAGTTATCCACTCCTACAGACACACTGTCTCGCTCGTTTCCCTGTGTGCTTGCTTTCTGCACGCTTGTGGATTTTACTAATCTTTCATAATGAACTACCTCTACAACTGGTGTTCAGGCTTTTGAATAATCTAGGGTAAATCCATAATTATACTAGGAGATTTAGCCCACGTTAAATACTCAGTTAACGGGATACTATTTATCGGAGTCAGATAGAGGAAATTAGCCTCTAGAATTTCTTAAAAAGTGAAATAATATATGAATACTTACAAAAATTACCTTTTGGTTTGGTATTTTGTACAAGTGGAATTTTATTTGTATGCAAAAGAATTTCGATAGCATCTTGAAGTGAAGTAAGCGAACCGTCATCATTTAAAGGACGAATAAGTTTTTGAATGAAACCAGATGGTGTGGAACTTGTATTCTCAGAAACACAATAAAGACGACATGGAATGTAACGAAAAGTCCTACACTTTGAAGATGACATACTATCGAGACTTGAAGACAATGGTTTGTTTTCTGGAATTTCAGGGGCAGATATTTCCTCTAAAGGAAGATCTAAAGATGATAGGTGAATGATAACATCTCGCAATAGTAAATAGTGTAGAAGAGATCCATAATACTCTTCAATACGTATATGTATGTTAAGACAAGTAAGGTGCTAATATTAAATTCAGCGTAAGTGAATAAATGTAGGGTTTTTTTATACACTGCTAAACACGATTTTTTTGACGCACAGCATGTAATGTTGTTATGATCAGACTTTGCGGTATGGCAACTTGGACCGATGCATATATGTGTCTGGTCCTACGTTGCAGCTGACTGACTGATGACCAGATTTATCGTAGTAATGTCTGTTTAAAAAATCTACTTACTAGAATACAATAAAAAATTTTCAAATATATTTATTACTGTTAATCGATTTAGTCAATATAATGTACTAAAATTAAGCGAAGCTGGTGTCGAATACATGGAAGTTTACAAGATTTAACATTTAGAAACTGAAATGATCTCAGCAGTTTCCTATTCTGTGCCACATGTAAAAAATTGGGCACTAAGTTTATGTTATAAGAATTAAATTATTATCAATTTAGGTGTTGTGGAGATTGTCAAGTTTTTGATTGAGATCATGAACCGATTGATGTTAGACCACCATTGAAAACCTGGAAGCAGTGGACGGCCGTTTCGTCCTATCTCAATCAAAAACTTGACAATCTCCACAACACTTAAATTGATAATTACAATGTGCTTACTAGTGACTAGCTTCGTGAGAAAATTCTCGGAGTTCTGGTGGGAAGTCGCGACCAGTGGAGCTAATCCGTGTCAGGTAGAAACAGGTGTCTACCTCAGTACAATGGAAGATGGTCGCGTAACTTCGTGGATTGGTTGAGGTTAGACATTAACACCGTTGGATGCCGGCTCAGTGGTCGAGTAGGTTAAGCGTTCGCGCGCGAGACTAAAGGCCCTGGGTTCGAATCCCGCAAGCGGGATCGCGGGTGCGCACTGCTGAGGAGTCCCACGATAGGACGAAACGGCCGTCCAGTGCTTCCAGGTTTTCAATGGTGGTCTAACATCAATCGGTTCATGACCTCAATCAAAAATTAAATTATTGATGACGATTAGGAATAAATAAGAAATATGATAAGATTCAAAAACATGGCATAAACAATAGCACAAATCACCTCAACTTTTAAGTTTTCGAAAAGACTATTAGAAAAAAATACGTGGTAATAAATATAGAACATACTTCAAATTAAAAATGAATATCAAGAGAAACAGTGTATAATAAATAATATGATAAGGGAGCAGAGAAAATATACAATTGGGAGTGAAAACGGTCATTTTAATCAGAAAGTAGTTAAATTTTCCTACGATTACCCCACTGAGTCGAATAAAATTGTTGACATCAAGTACAGAGTATATCTGCAAATAGCTTAAGACAAAACAACAGCCACATTCACTGTTATGCATGTGTCTATGCCATGATGGAGAATGTGTTATGATGAAATGGAAAAGCACAGAAACCTTCGAATTTTCACTCATCTGTAAAATTCTTGTTGAGACTAAAAATAATTTTTGGTTCACATTTATACAGTGTAATGAATATATTCGTTTTATGAAGTCGATTCTTTTTTATTATCAATGATCCACAACGGCTTATTGAACTAATTTAAGCGAAAATAAAAAAGATATAATTTGTAAGCAATGACACAGATGTCGTCTTCATAGAGTGATTCGATGGATTCGCCAAAACGAAAAAAATCTCTCACATTAATTAGATATCTTCTTTTTAGTAAATGGGATATTATAAGGTAACACTAATACTTAGTAATATACAAAAACATAACGTTTTTCTAAATTTCGATGAACCAATGCTAACAGATTATGCGTAAGATGATACCGGTTTTCTTCCGTTAAATCATTTTTGAGTGTACAATTTGGACCACACACTCTTTAGTATTAGCTGTAATACTCAACAGAAAGGCAAAAGACACCCATGAAAGTGATCAGAAATGAAGAATTATAGTAGCGGGTATATACGTTATGTACAGTATTACCATTGAATTCACAGAACTGGATTCCGGTAACAATCATTTAAATGGGTAACAATTTCGTAATCTTGAGTATCTTTACATTTTGTTTTCTTTGACTACAGACACGTTCACTCCTAATCGCGTAAACAGATAAATAATTTCGATATCTACTAAACCTACATTTCCTTGTTTGTAAAAGCTGCTTGTTGTATGATAAGATAGAGCAGGAAAATAAAAGCTTATAACCTCAGGAAAAAGTACACCGATTTGTATGAATAAATTTCATGAAAACACAGAAACGTTGAGATATTTACAAAAAGGACAACATAGATAAAAAAGGTAATTTGGTCTATTCACTAGAAACTTTGGTATGGGCCACACACTGCAAGTGTGCGGGTTAATGATATTGTACGGTTGCCCGAATCGGAGTAGCTGAAGTAAGGTTCGAATCTGTGATTTAGTGAATCAAAAGTTGAACGCCCAAAACACTAAGACATCACTCCACCGAGATGATACAAATAAAGGAAGATTAGTAATACATCCAAAGTCTCTAGAATAAAATGTATTCTGTCAAGATATGTAAATAATTTCAGATACTAGAAGATGCAGCTTAAAATCAAGTGAATATCATATAATGTTATCATTTAATGTAAAGCAATTCGATGTATATAAACTGAAGTGCTGTCATGCCCCCAAATGCCCTGGTACGGCCGAGAGTGGGGAGAGTCCGCTCTCCCTCTCGAAATGCTCTCACATGGCCATGCGTATATAGCCTCTGCCAGGGAAGTCCTACTCACTGCCTTCTCGTGGCGGGGGTGTTGTTCACGAAAATGACAGGACGAAAAGCGAATGTCTGGCGCTTTAACCGGACCCCAATTCAATGGTGCACATGGGCTCCAGTATCCTGCGGGAACAAATGGCGTATGAACCAATCGTTGGTCACCGGCTACCATGGGACTGCATCTCCTTACGATGTTCCACTGCCTTGTGGGTCAGGCGTTCAGGTCAAAGGCTCGGGGTGTGGCCCCCTAAGAAAACCACCAGCTTCGGTTTGGGCACCCGGGCAGTATCACAGCCCTCACACAAATCAATTGAGATTCGTGTGGCGCATATGTATTTGGTGCCTCCCTGTACCTATACTTATGTGTTAAAATAAATAAATAAATAATAAATGAAGTGCTGTCATAGCACTATCAAAAACAAGGATATTAGTGTTATGTTTGCGTGAAGTTTTATTTAGAGTACCACGACGCGTAAAGTGTGAAAGCGAAAAAACTGTTTCGTATTTAGCTCACTTAATATTAAACATCTGTAGTGAGATATAAGAACACTTACCCTTGGTATTTTGTGGAAGGGGCTCCATTAATTTACTATTGATCGACCAAAATTGGTCATATCGAAAGTGTAGTAAGCCATTCCATAATTGCCGATGATCTCTAGCTTGCATTTGGTTGATAACGTAGCTACGATGCTTTAAAGCATCGGCTTCTTTAATCATCGACAGGAAATGAGCTTCAACAGCGAGTCGATTTACCGGTGGGGATAAAAGCAAGTCAGTTGGATAATTCTAAAATAATATACCGTAAGAAAATAAGAACAGTTGACAAATTTGACATGATAAAAACTCCGAAGTATTTTATTAAGTGCAATTTACGATGAAAAAACATTATTTAATTACGCCCGTTACCACTCGTCGAAGAACATAGGCTACCCACCAGCAGTTTCCATCCAACCCTGTCTTGGGCAATCCTTTCCAGTTGCTATTCATTGTTCTTATGTCTGCTTCCAATTCCAGTGTTCTTTGGCCTTACTCTTTGCCGTCTCCCTTCACGATTCCAAGTTAGCGCTTGCTTCGTGATGCAGTTTGGTGATTTCACTAATGTATTTCCTATCCACCTTGCAACGTCTTTTCCTAATTTCCTCCTCAGCTGGAAGCTGGTTTGTTCCCTCCCACAGCAGGTTGTTGCTGATGGTATCCGGATATTGAATATCTTGCGTAGAGAACTGTTTATAAATACTTCTACCTCTTTGATAACGGTTGTAGTAGTTCTCCAAATTTCGGCTACTTACAATAGAACTAACTGTCTTGACGATTCTTTGATACTGGTTGACAGTTGTTTTGAATTCCATATGTTCCTCAGTTGTAGGAATGCAGCCCTTGCTTTACTAATCCTTGCATTTACGTCCGCGTACGATCCGCCTTGTTCATCGATGATCCTTCCCAGGTACATGAAAGACTTCACATCTTCCAGAACTTCTCCATCAAGTGTGATTCAATCGCTATTCTCAATGTTGTGTTTGAGGATCTTGCTTTTGCTTTTGTGTATGTTGAGGCCCACTGATGCAGAGGCGAAAAAATATTAGACTTCCATATTTCTGTTTATGATGTTTAATACAATAAAAGGAATGACTAGACACTAACAGGATTAATGCATGACAAATCTACATTAGTCAACAAATACGCTTTAAGAGTGGATCTTAATAATGAAGCGAAAGCCTGTTCATTCTCCTTGTTTATGCTATGATAAAAAATTGTTTACCAGAATGTTTACAAGATGAGGTGAATTTGTTGGGATGACCACCGAGAAGCCACCCACGTACATAGTCGATTGACTAAGTTATCGATTAATTTATCGATCAGATGTTAAGTATTTGAATAGCAGTCAATTGATTAACTTATTGATGAATGTTTAAGAATTTTTAAATGACAAATATTGATTATGTATATAATTTTGTATAAATACTCATGTTTGATTGTATATTTTGATTCTTGTCAATAAGTGCTCACAAACGTCTTTCGTCTTCTTACTTGAGAGCGATTGGAGGTTATAACGTTCGAGTGTCATCCGTTATAGAGTCTTTTCGTGCGTATTCGAGTAGAGAACTTAACAGTGGCGACGGGTTTTACAATCAACAATGCCAATTACCTTTAAACAAATAGAATCTTTGCTGGAACGTCAAGAAAAACGATATGAACAGTTCCAGGAGCGTATGTTGGAGATGTTAGCGAAACAAATGAATCTGAATAACAGAGATTTTACTGATGATTCATGTAATACGCATACAGACTCGATAATTAATTCCATTCAGGAATTTCACTTTGATGGCCTAGCTGGTGTGACTTTCGAGTCTTGGTTCAAGAAGTATGAAGATTTGTTCAAGGTAGACCTCAACAAACTGGATGACGCTGCCAAGGTCAGAATACTCTTGAGAAAGCTTGGCACGATTGAACATGAACGTTATAGTAATTTCATCCTCCCAAAGAATCCAAGAGATTTCTCTTTTGATGCAACAATCGAAACTCTGACGCAAATCTTCGCTGAACAATCATCTCTCTTTAATATTCGTTATCAATGCCTCAAAATAACGAAGTCAAGTGAGGATGATTGGGTAAAACATGCCGGCCTAATAAACCGTGAATGTGAACGATTCAAACTATCATCAATGACGGAAGACCAGTTTAAGTGCCTTGTATTTGTGTGTAGCCTACAATCTCCCGAAGATGCTGATATAAGAACCGGAATCTTAAGCAAAATTGATCAGTGTCCAAACATCTCACTACAAGAAATAACTGCAGAGTGTCAGAGATTAGTAAATTTGAAACATGATACCTCCATGGTCGAGAACAATAGCCGGCCGTCATACGTGCATGCTGTTAGTGAAAAGAAAGACTCCGGCTCACAAAAACCATACAGCACAGACAATCAGCCCTCATCTCCTTGCTGGTCATGTGGAGGTTGGCATTACAAGAAGTTTTGTCCATACAAAGAATATTTCTGCACTAAATGTCACAAAAAGGGTCACAAAGAAACCAGATGTAGAAATAAAACTCGCAGACGTTACTCTTCACAAGTCTATTCCAAGAAATACAGATCTGGTAAGAAAACGAACAAAATATTAGTATCTCATAACCAGACAAGAATTCACCGCCGAAGAAAGTATGTGACCGTGGACATGAATGCACACCGTGTCCGTCTTCAACTTGACACAGCATCTGATATCACCCTAATCAGTCCAAAAACTTGGGAGAAAATTGGGAGACCTACAGTTCACCAAACGAAGCAACTAGCGCACAGCGCATCTGGAGGTAAGCTTAATATTGTTGGGGAAATAACGTGCAATGTTTCGAAAAATGAGGCAACAACGAGTGCAACTGTTTATTTAACCAAGAACCCGGAACTCGATTTATTGGGGTTGGATCTAATAGATGCATTAAAATTAGCAGATCATCCTCTCAACAATATCTGCAGCCAAGTCAGAATCAATAACCCCTTAGAGTCAAGTCAGAGAAATGCCATTATAAAAAGGCATCATCACGTGTTTTCAGAAGGATTGGGCGAATGCACGAAAGCCAAAGCACTACTGACTCTCAAGTCAACATCTATTCCTGTTTTTCGACCAAAAAGACCTGTACCTTATGCTTCTCTCCCAGTAGTTGAACAGGAACTAGAACGGCTTCAAAAAATGGGTGTCATTGAACCTGTGAGTTTCTCCAATTGGGCTGCACCGATTGTGGTGGTCAAGAAGTCAAACGGCAGTGTCCGTCTATGCGCAGATTACTCTACTGGACTGAATGATGCGCTAGAACCCCACCAGTATCCTTTGCCTATACCTGAGGATCTTTTTGCTAAGCTGAATGGAGGCAAGGTGTTTGCAAAACTGGATTTATCAGAAGCTTACTTGCAGATTCCTGTCGCGGATGAAAGTAAAGATCTGCTTACTATAAACACTCACAAGGGCCTATTCCGATATAATCGGTTACCTTTTGGAGTCAAAACGGCCCCCTCCATATTTCAACAGGTGATGGATACTATGCTACATGATCTCCCTGGTGTTGCAGCTTATCTGGATGACATAATAATTATGGGCATTGACAGAATAGACCTAGAAAAGAAGCTCGACCGGGTGCTATCGAGAATAGCTGAATATGGATTCCGGCTTCGTGAAGAAAAATGTGACTTTTGCATGGAGAGAGTACGCTACCTCGGTTTTATCATTGATAAGGACGGGAGAAAACCAGATCCAGAGAACACTCAAGCTTTGAAAGCAATGCCGAGACCGACAGATGTTCCCACACTTCGATCCTTTTTGGGGCTAGTGAGTCATTATGGAGCTTTTATCCCTGACCTTCATCGTTTACGTGCCCCATTAAATAGTCTTTTAACAAAGAACGCAAAGTGGTGTTGGTCTAAAAGTTGTCAAACTGCTTTCGAGAAGATCAAGAAACTGCTACTCTCGGATCTGTCGTTGACCCACTATGACCCATCCCTACCTATTGTAGTGGCATCAGATGCTTCAAACTACGGCATTGGAGCAAGCATTTCGCATATCATGCCTGATGGGTCTGAAAAAGCTATCTCACACGCTGCCAGATCTTTGACAACGACCGAAAGAAACTATAGTCAAATTGAGAAGGAAGCCCTATCAATTATCTTTGCAGTAAAAAAATTCCACAAGATGTTATATGGTCGAAATTTCACCCTATTAACAGACCATAAGCCACTGCTTGCAGTTTTTGGGTCAAAGAAAGGGATTCCTGTTCATACAGCTAACCGACTCCAACGTTGGGCAACCACACTTCTGGGTTACGACTTTAAGATCAAGTATCAGTCAACTACCGCTTTTGGACAAGCTGACGCGTTGTCAAGATTAATAGGCTCCCAATCAAAAACCCTAGAGGAAACCGTTGTAGCAAACATAAAAGCCGAGAAAGAAGTTCATCGCGTATTGGTCGACGCAATCGATGGACTTCCAGTAACTTTTGAAATTATCAAGAAGATTACTGAAAGTGACAAGATATTGAGCACAGTTAAATGCTATCTTACGACCAAATGGCCAAACAATCGTCTTGATGGAGAACTCTTGCAATATTTTCGTCGACGGGACTCACTAATGATTGTCGACTCGTGTATTATGTTTGGTGATCGAATTGTTATTCCGAAGTTATTACGTCACAAGGTTCTCAAGCAGTTCCACAGTGGCCACCCTGGAATCAATAAAATGAAATCGTTGGCTCGTAGTTATGCTTATTGGCCGTCAATGGACAAAGATATCGAGAATAAATGCCGTAACTGTCCATCATGCATTCAAGCTGCTAAAAATCCTTTGAAATGCGAACCTCAGTATTGGCCAACGCCTGCAGGACCCTGGGTAAGACTTCATGCAGATTTTGCTGGTCCAATCCATGGAAAAATGTTTCTAATTATCGTAGACGCATTTACTAAGTGGCCAGAAGTATATACCATGGCAAATTGTACAACGTCAGAAACAATCCACAAGTTGTCTACCTTATTTAGCTGCTTCGGAGTTCCAGAGATCGTAGTAACTGATAATGGCTCGCAATTCATTGCAGAATCGTTTAAGTATTTCTGTAACGCAAATGGAATAACTCATCTTCGTTCTCCGCCCTATCATCCACAATCGAACGGACAAGCAGAACGCTTTGTGGACACTTTTAAACGAGCACTACTGAAAGGGGGAGGCGAAGGGACAACTGGACAGGTAATCACAAAATTTCTGACAACCTACAGAACCACTCCGAACCCAAATGTTCCAGACGGTAAGTCTCCTGCCGAAGCCATGTTTGGAAGGCGTATTCGAACCGTTTTCAACGCCATGTTGCCATCGAAATTTGTGTACGGGCACAATCAAAATCCAAATATGCGGAACTTTAATGTCGGCGACGAAGTTTTCATTAAATCCTACACCGGAAAGAACCGATGGGAGCCGGGAAAAATTGTACAAAAGTTAGGAAAAGTTCTGTACAGAGTCCGAGGAACTTTTGGAACATGTATACGACATACGAATCAAATCCATAAGGACAAAAGAACGATGCAGACTCGAAATAACCGGCCAAAATTCCCGTTAGAGTCAACCTTGGACGTACCAACGATACATATGCCCGAAGACACTGAAAGGAAGCCTTGGATAAGGAAGACGACAAGAATAATGAGACACCACCGCAACCCAGTTGTCAAGCTACAAATAAATCCTAGAAAGAAATCTTATTCGGGGGAGGTGTTGGGATGACCACCGAGAAGCCACCCACGTACATAGTCGATTGACTAAGTTATCGATTAATTTATCGATCAGATGTTAAGTATTTGAATAGCAGTCAATTGATTAACTTATTGATGAATGTTTAAGAATTTTTAAATGACAATATTGATTATGTATATAATTTTGTATAAATACTCATGTTTGATTGTATATTTTGATTCTTGTCAATAAGTGCTCACAAACGTCTTTCGTCTTCTTACTTGAGAGCGATTGGAGGTTATAACGTTCGAGTGTCATCCGTTATAGAGTCTTTTCGTGCGTATTCGAGTAGAGAACTTAACAGAATTTCTGGGGAAAAAATATAACATAGGACGTCGTAAGATAATTTGCACAGCTCCGAAGAAAATACTGTTCATGAACCTCACGTGTATATAACTAGTGATAAACATGAAAAACTATCTGGGAAATCCAATAAGAAAGAAATTTTATATAGTTTCTATTATTTCTACATGAGATGATTTATTAAGACCGGACAACTTCAGTGCTTCTCTGGAGTGAGACGGGTAATTAGATTATTTATCAAGATCTATTTTTTGTTTCGTTGTCCATCAAAACAGTGTAGATCTTTGAAATTTAAAAGATTATCGATAGTTAACTTTGAATCATTCATTTGATATAACCTACAAGATTCAGTTAAACATTTCCACAAGTCAACGTCTGAAACATAGACATATATTCGATTAAACCCGAGTTATGTATGTCAGAAGTCAGTTAGATTTATTGTTTTTCCATGACCTTAACCTTTTTTTATTTCCGTTACGTATTGTTTGAACAGATATTCTAATTTCTTATGGTTATTATTTTGTTACACAGAATTCTTTTTACCGAGAATTCTTGATTATTATTCACATAACATACTCTATAGTTTCAGATTCGGTGTACTTACAGTTACCCTACGCATGTTAATGACCTAATATTTTATGCCTTACAGACTTTATATTTTCACAAACACTAATAGCTTTTAACCTTAACATATTATTAGCATAGGAAACTTGTGGAGATTACACAATGTTCATCTTTGTAAAACTAGTTGATTTCAATGAACTAATTTATCTACAATTGAGTATACGTAAGTTAAGGAGAGAGAAAAAGTACCAAATAGGAATTAAAATATTGAATGAAAATAACGCGAATTACAGTGCAACTTAGTACGTAAATTAAAGAACTATTTATTAAAAGTTGGAGAATTCTAGTTATGTTTGTGTTGATTTGCAAATGATTGAATACATTGTTTTTTAGACCCATATAACACCAAATAATTCAGATAAACAACATTTTAAAAGATCTTACTACGTGCCGATTTTAGATTCGCAAAAATAGTGATATTATTGTGATCAATTTTAGTGATTTGCCAACCAACAATAATTCTGAGTATTAAAAGATAACTGTCACATTATATATAGTGTATAGCAAGTATAAATACGCATGATTTATATCGACCACATACACTAAAATGAACTGTTATCTTCCATGGAATGTCCATTGTATCTGCACACATATCAAATACAAGCCCAATCGGATAGTGCCTGTAAGATACAAAAAGAAGTGTGGAAAGAGAAAATCATTTAAATTATTCTTAAGATGCATAAAGGAAGTACTACGTATGGTTTTATGGTCAATATACCTACCTTCACAACTGACTTGTTAAGTGTGTTAATCTCTATCAAAACGAGTACATCAACTAATAATAATCAAGTTAAATACCTAACAATAAAAACTCATTTGATCCCAGATTGGTTATTACTCAGACCATTTTTATTTCACTACCAATCATGAGATTGCACCAGTTATATAAACAAGACTAATTCTTGTTGCAGTGACTCGGTTGCGATTTAGTATGCGTTTGTCTATCGTTCTAATACAATTGACTACCATTTTGCGTTATTTTACTAATTGTAAATTATTACAAATTTTAGAAACAAATTATAATTGTTATCTAAATAGTTACCTGCTTTGATGACTATAACTCTGCTAAGATATCTACCCGCAGGTAATTACTTCATATAAAGTATACACATTCTAGTTTAATAGGAAAACTAAACAATGTGAAATACTTTAAAAGTAGGTTAACTTAAATCTTTGCTACATTATGTGATATCCGGAACATCACAGAGAAAACGAAGCAATTCGGAAAATATTTTGCAGTCATACAAATACAAATAAGTAGGGTTGTACAGGTGAATTATACGAAATAATTTATCATGGTTATCAGAACAGAGAAAAATGCTACCAAACTTCGACAGAAAAGATTTAACTAAAAAACGAATTATGGAAAAACAAGGAAACTATTAGTGAGGTATGTATACGTAACAGGAACCAACTTTTAATCATATTATGGTATACTTATAACTACTAATACTTACTCATTATAATGGACATTATAAGACATTGGCTTTCGATATCCATGCAGATTATATGCAGATTGTCAGTGATTTCTGAGGCCAATTTTTATACATCAGATTAACTTCCTGAGACTCATTCTGTAATTTATTTGGGTTTTTACTATAAAACTAACATGGAATTAACCTCTTCATTTCGATCTCTCCGTTGATTGTGGATTCGAACTTTTTTAAATCAACAATATCACATAGTGTGTAACATTTATGAGACGGTGAAGATTAAAACGGCAAAGTGAATTCTTAATATTAGAATCTGTAGACTTTATCATAGAGGAAAAATTAAACGCTTGGTGACCTATTCAGCGAAGGCTTAACTTCTAGACCAGTGAGTTGGCATCCAACGATGTCATTGTCTAACTTTAACCAGTGCACGATGTTACGCGACCATCTCCCATTGTCTTTGGTGGGTAACTGACTCACACCCGACACAGTTGAACTCAACTGCCCATGGATTCCTACTAGAACTTCCAGAGTCCCATACTAGGACAAACGGCTGTCCAGTGCTTCCAGACTTTTAACGGCGGTCTAACACTGATCGATCCATGATTTCAAAGAAATCCGACAATCTCCACAACTCAAAACTGAAGATATTAAGTTTCGTTGACTCATTTTTCTTATCCTCTAGTTACCGTTCGGTGTGTTGCTTATATCACTCCCTTTATCTGTTTAATAGACTGTAATAATTGTTTTGTTTTGTATGCTAACAGTGTTCATTTACGTTTTAGGGACAGATAAAGCTTATTAGGCCAAATAGCTTACATGTTCTAAATTTGATCAAACTAAGACTCAATATTCGACAGTCTGGGGATTAATTTAGAATTGCGTCTGTAGGAAATTAATTCCTACAAAGTTTTGAACAGTGAATCGATACACTTACTGAAATGACCTCCAATAAATACTATTATTCCGATGAGATTCCAGAGTTGTCACCTCATCGTCTGGGAGATTATAATGAAGACAAATTTGAAAGGAATGAACTCATAACAAACCACCTGATATAATTCAAGTTAGCTAGGTTACGTGTAGTTCAGTTGGAGAGAGAAATCGAATTAGAGAGGTTACATCATCAGCAAAGAGAAAGTTCCGATCAATCAATAACTGAAAATGAGAATGTAATATTAAAAAATCTATATTTGCTAAAGAAGGAAATCCTGAGGTTCAACGACACAACTGCAAATTACTGGAATTTCACAAGAAGTTTTAAGGAATTCATCGGTAATAAGAAAAGTGGATTTAGAGAGGAGCTAATTTACCTTATCCAAAATTGCGATGAGGAAACAAAGACAGTCATACTATACCATGCTTTACTAAGATCGGAAATTGGCTACCATAAAGTTCTAGAAATACTAATCGAAGAATTCGGTCAAAAACGCATCACAGTAAGGACGTTTATTGATGAGCTATTAAACCTTCCCAGTATTAAAGGAAATTATCCAGACACCTTGAAGAAGCTATATTGAGAGATGACGGTGTGTGAGTTAACTCTAAAGCAGATGAACCACATTTCAGATTTTAATTCGTCGAGGACCATAGAACATATAATCTTGAAACTCTCAGTGCGCCCAAAATTCTAGCTAAGATCTTAATCAACGTAAACGCTAAAACTAGGGCCAAGCCATCAGGTCCTATCGCTCTCCTTCGTTTTAGATCACCTAGACCATTAGAAACTTTATCAGAAGTTGAGAAAATTATGTAGATTTGACATTCAGGTTGTTTGGAGATAGTGGGTAGTTGATCCAATCTCCTGGATTGAAAGTAAATGATAATCTTATCTTTTTCTGAGATATTCTCACTAAGAACCGAATTCCTAATACCTTTTTCCTTCATAGGTTTGAAAAGTTGTCTATGGCCACTATCTTTCCCATATTGTTTGTTTTCGTTGTCCACCCACTACTCACGATCACTTGGCACACTTCTTGTTAGTTTTCGTCTGAGTTGTTGTCGATCTTCATCGTTTTCCGAGCTTGTTGGGATGAGCCTTTACACCCAAATCAATTCGGTAAATGTTACTGAAATCCACTTATCTTTCCTAACTTTTGATATACATACCGTTAATTGTGTCGCTGGTGTTTGCATATCTTTACAAGATTTTTCAGGATGAACTGTTTCTTTGAGACAGAATAGGTGGTTGACTAATTGTTCTCTGCAACATTGACCTAATCATCTTCAAATTAGTATCAGAAGGGTTTACCTGCTTCAACTTTGCTTATCGAGTAAGATGGATAGAAATCAATGCTCTCACTAGAACATGATCGGAGTCCAAGTATACATTCCAGTAGAAGCAGCAGTTTTCTACCGAATATGGCTGACGGCGAAATGATCTATTTGTGCTAATCGTTATGTTGGAAGTCCTCAGGTTAGACAGTGTCTTTCTTTATACTTAAAATTCCTATTTACTGTGAATAATCGGTTGTCTGAGAGAAATTACAGCAAACAGTTACCGATAACTGACCCGAATGAGGTAGGAAGAAGATGAACACGAATGCAAAATTAACGAGAAAGATATGGGTAAACAGGGATGCAAATAAATAATAAGTTGCTTACAGACAAACTAATAATAGTGAGTATCTAAGTTATATTGTGACAGACTTTTAAGCTGACAGTAATTCTCCGAATACCAATTCCTATGATTTTGAGAATTATCATCGGAAAATAGACATTTCCATGCACACTTCGGACATACAGATAATGACTTCATAAAATGATGATCGGCTTACCTACTGCACTTCGTTACTTACGCCTACAACCCTTCGTGAGAGCATACATCGCCGACCAGGATTCTCCAACTAATTCTGTCCTGGGCAATCCTTTGCAATCCTTCCCGATCGCTATTCATTCTTCTCATGCCTGCCTCCGATTCCAAACGCAATGTGTTCCTTGGTCCTCTACTTTCCGTTTTACCTTCAGGATTTCCAGTTAGGGCTAGCCTCGCGACGCAGTTTGATGATTTCCTTAATGTATGTCCTATGCACCTTCAGCATCTTTTCCCGGTTTCCTCCTCAGCTGGAAGTTGGTTTGTTCTCTCTCATAGTAGGTTGTTGCTGATGGTATCCGGCCAACGGACATTGAGTATCTTGGGTAGACAGTTGTTTATAAATACTGTCATGACATCTGCCGCTAATCAGAATACCGACATAGTCCCTATGCTAAACGAGTGATGCGTCAAACAGCGCTAGCAGTGTTGAGTCGACTTTGGGTCCTTATCGGTAATGTGTATAGCAGGTTCTCGCCTAGCCCAGGTTGTTCAGTACAAAACACAAATATCAGACTTCGCGGTAAAAACAGTATATTTCAAACATACACAGACCAGACAGCATCAAACCATAAAGTGAAAAACAATAATTACACAAGATGAAGCAAAAAGTGGCTGTGGGTGTAGGAGACTGTATCCAATAGATTGAGAATAAATTAAGAATGGCAAATTGTATAACAGTATCTAATAGGTCAAATAAAAGTTTATACATATAATTCCCAGCCTTTACCATTCATCTGTTCTTCATTTAAATGTGACAAATACCTGTACTTTTTTTGTGATGGTTGTAGTAGTTCTTCATATTTGAGGTCTGTACAGTAGAACTGTCTTGACGTCTGTATTAAAGAATATGACTTTGATGTCGGCTGACAGTTATTTTGGGTCCCATATTATTGCGTCCTTGATCTGTCGACCCAATAATGTACAGGAGAAAACTTGTCTCGATTTACGTTACAGACTTGATACGATAAACTAACTGGTCCAACATTGAGGCTAGAATTGCGTGAGTCTGATTGGAGACTAACTGCCTTAGGAAGAGAGACGAGAACTGTTCTATCACCTGATTGGTTCACAAGAGAGCAAGAGAGAAGACGAGTCAACTGGAAGTCCACTCAATTTATTTCCGACTCCCAATTCGGATTAGTGCGAAAAGATACACGAAAAAATAGATGATTAACCTAACCACAATGCACAAACAATTAGAAAAATAAGATATTTTACAAACTTTGGATTAGGTGAAATAACGTCCCCAAAAGTAGCTCCTGTTGTGTCTCTGTTCACATCATATATATTCTTCAATTGTAGGAATTCTACCCTTGCTTTGCAAATCCATGCATTTACATATGCATCAGATCCTCCTTGTTTATCAATGATT